ATCCAAATAAGATCCAACCGCATACAGTTTTGAAACTTTTGTGGAGAGGAGTGAATCTTTAATCTAAAAGCAGCGGTGTGAGTCATCCTCAGAGAATAACCAGTACCAGGGTTTTATTTTTTAGAAGATGATACAACTCATGGTCCAAAATACAAACTGTCCTGCTGGAAATAACATTTAAAAGAGCAAACAGCATCCCATTACTTAAGAGAATTTGCTCTCACATTCTGCTAATTTGTTCATTCATATCAGCTCTTCTATTTAAATGCTGAGAGAGACCCATTGGAAGCTGCCAGTTATGAACATTCCCATTTCACGCTACAACTGTTCACCACAGTTATCTGTTCCGTTCGTTATCTTGAAATTAAGAAAAATGCCTGCACAGCGTACCTAAATAACCCGATATAATCATTGGATGATGAATTATGGTCTGCAGATGAATATAACTCATTTATTGCTTTTAGTAGATTGTCAGGGAAAAGCGTGTTGGCTGTAAATCCTTGAACACCATTCGGCTGCTTCCCTGACAGGAGCTTCAGCTCCAGTCTTCCACGTCTCTGCCTGCTCCCCAGTGTATGGAAAGTAGCCTGCACATTACCATATCATCAGATTATAGTAAGCCATTTACAAGCCTTAGTGCTCGCGGCCTCGGAGGCTGCAGCCATGAGAACGGTGAAGATCATGCAGTGAGGCGCTGAGATGCGCCAAACGCATCCACGGCTGTCGAGCCCCGAAGAAGCGGCCGTTGTTTAAGACCACCACAAAGCATTCGTCAAGTCAAATCAACCCGCCAGCTGGGAGCTCACGGCTGTATGTGAATGAAAAAACTCAGGCAAAACACCGCTGAAGCACCAGCGTCAGACGCTGGACGGTAGAAGCAGAAACGTTTCAGGAATTCGCTCAGTTGTTTGCAATTTCCATCCTCTTGTTTAAAATGACACCATCATTTATTGATGTGGCGTTTCCCGAGCTGATATGGAACCCCTCTCAATAATTCATCTGATGCAATGCTCGTCCGGGGCCAGAGAGCGGCGTGCTGCCGCTCCGCCGAGGACCACAGAGTTCATTTGGGCCCAGCACGGCTCATTTCCTTCTCCCCGTTTATCACTTTTATTATAGCTGTGATGAGACGCTATGCGTGCTTTCATAAAGCACTTAGGGGCCTCTACTTGTTTAACGCTTTCCTCTCTCCACTGTCAGGCCGGCAATAATCTAATTAACCCACGAGTCACCGTGGCTAATATCATGGGTGGTCATTGCTCAACCATGGCATTAGTGTAACTAATATAAGGCTTCTTATAAGAAACATATCAGACACGTAAAGATGAGCAACTCTTACTACCTGCACATGTGTAACAGCTGATGATACCTGGAAGTAGCTTTACTACTGCTACATTTGTGTTATATTTCCACTTAGAGGGCACAGACCCAGAACAACCCAGAACAACAAGAAAAAAGCCAAATGCAACGAGTAAAGGCCATCGTAAGTGCTAAAAAAAGGGCTACCTAGTACAGGTCCAGTCGGTGGAGGTGTGTGTTTTTCTTTGCGTTGGAAGCGGTGTGTACTTTTTGCTGTCCTGATGTCATTGGGGAGCTCATCCCACCTTTACACAAGTCCCGTTGTCGCGGTTTAACCTTTTTCAGGCTTTCCACTTAACATGCAGGCCTCTTTCTTTGTTTCAACCACATGGTGAAGTCCCAACAGAACACACGCTTGCTTTTATAAAATGTTGGGATTTGTGCGAGACACTTAGTGATAGATTAGATATTTCGATTTCTGCGTTGTTAGAGTGCAGAGATTTCAACAATGGGGTTTGGGATTTTATAATGTTTAAAATACAAAGCCGTTTGTGTACGTTCTCGCTGTTTAGCAATTTATCTAAATAGCAGGTTATTATATTCCTGTTTCCTGGTGTTTTGGCAATAAAAGCGTTTTTATCCTAAAATAGCATGGATCTAATTACTTCCCCCACAGCAATAACAACCCAAGGGAGCGAAAACTGTGAGGGAATCAATTCTCAAACTGAAATCACATCAAGGATCTGCCATTTATCTTCTGTCAAACAATAAAACAACGCTTTAACTAGCAACACACAGTATTTCCTCTGTGCAGCTGGCAGTGCATTGCAGCCCGGATGAAACTGAATCTCATAAGGATGTTGAAGAACACTTAACTTCAAATCGATAATGTTTCTGCCTCAGAGCTTGGCTTTGTGTCCGGTTGGAGCCCTGATCAGCTCGCTGGAGTTCAGTGTGTCTCATCAGTATGCAACGCAACACCGCATGCACATTGGAAGTGTTTGGTCAGCGGCCTGCGGGCCAAAGAGACTGCTGCCTTATTCTAAAGATGTTCACTCGACAAAGTAAAAGAGTGTGCTTCGATCTCATTGTTTCAAACTGCGTCAGTGCAGAGTGGAGGTGAATCACCCGGGACGACGGGGATTTCCTGCGCCGCACTCTCATTGTAATGCGCAATACTCAGAAGCTGTTTATTAAGTCGCACCATTTCAAATCCGTTGTAAGAACCGGGTGAATCCGTTGCAGAGAGCGTGGACTCACACTCCTTTGGACACTTTCATTGGCTGGAGCTTTGGACTGAGATGAATGGAACAAGGGCTTCTCTGCTATCGCTGCATAACTTTGACCTTGGATGTGGATCATCAGACGCCTCACGCTTGCTATTTACACACTGGTGCACAACGTAGAAGAAACCCGGCACGATCGATTCTGCGGTTTTTTCGGGGTTTTGCTGTAGTTTCACCCCCGGGCACAGCAGAAGAAACCAGCGGAAGGTACATGCTTTGAAGACGCGGTGGAGCTTGAGGTTTCACAGGTGTCCCAAAGACATTTATAATAGAGCAAGAGGGTGGAGGCTTCTTGTGCGCGCCTGCACATTGAAGTGTGTGTTTCTATTTTTGTCAGCAGGCCTGTCCCGGTGAGTCAGGGTGTAAGTGTTGACAGTGACGTACAGACCCGCACTTGGGGGGGGGGGGGGGGTGGAGGGTCAAACTGGTGCATCCTGGGTCTGCAGAGGTCCGTCAAGCAAGTAGATCTTTATGTTAGGAGGTTGCTTTATTGTGGTGATAATACAATATCTTCAATCGCTTTTCGGATCTTTACGCATGATTGAATACATGACCTTTTATAGACACTTTGGTGTAATTTTAGCCACAGCTTGGACAATATTTTATTCAATGTGGGTGATATACTGCAGGTTTCAATAAAGTGTCGACACAAGCAGACAGTTTGAGAGATGTTTTCAACAAGACTGTGTTCAAACTTGTGTGAAAACAAACATTTTAAGAGGCAGTAACTGCCTGCAACTGCTCGTATGAATCTTTCCCGTAGACATACAGAGAGAGAGTGAAACAGGCAAAAAAAATGTTCGAACTGGAGTCACGAGTATAAATTGAACAATTCCTCATTGCATGCTTCATTTACTGAGAAAGCTGACTTTGTAGCTGCAAAATCTTCCTCTGTTCTTGCTGAATGCACTTTGCACTGTCAAACAAGTGTCCACTTCTGGCTGGCCAGTGGGCGCTCTCTGGATGTCGCTCACAAACAACTTCCTCCTTCCCAGTATTTACGGCACGACATCATTGCAGACGTTTCATGTTCTGTCGTGTTCTGTCCGTCACTCAGATATTCAGCTGTATTTATTAAAGCCACAGCGTGGGTGCAGAAACGCAGCCACACGGGATCTCAGGGTCGCATTAGTTGTGCAAGAGGCTACTTTATTGCAATGCATCCTTTGACTGTACATTCGGGTAATAGATGGCACAGCTACGCTCACCATCAACACTATTGGACATCGACTGACTGTTAAAAAGGTGGCGCGTTTTCTCTTTGACCCACATAACTGAACTTTGTTCGGCCGATTCACGTGACATGGAGTCACACAGAAGTGTGAAGAGGCGAACACATGGAGATTCCCACGGGGGATTGGGGATTGTTCATACATGAGTCCGTCAATGTTGTCCTGTCCTCTCTTTTTGATCGGCGTGCTGCGGCATGCTGCATTGAGACGGATTGTGTTCTCTCTCTGCCGCCTCTCTTTGCTTCCCCTCTTGATTTGGGTTTGTCTTCTCCTCATCCATGCTCATATATCTGCTGCTGACTTTCTGACTGTGCACTTCTGTGTGACTAATGTGCACGCAGTGTCTTCTCTGGAGGACACTGTAGGACGTTTTAAGGCGTCCTTCGCCGCTGAAAGAAGGACAGATAGCTTTACTTTGCACAGTTTGAGAAATCCGTATTACTGACTTTAGTTCCTACACATCACATGCCAAGACTCTAAGAGGCGTGTGTAAAAGTGTCGGGAAAATCAGCTTAATAAGGGATGTTGTATGTCAAATTGCATCAGTCACTTTAAAGATACAAAAGGAGCTGAACTAAACGTACCCAGTGCGTTGGAGCGTATACGCTTGAGACAACATTAGAGTGTTGGATGACATCACCACTGTCGACGTTTTCATCTACTTGAGTATTTCTTCTCAATGTAACCGCGCTGTATGTTTAAAGTAAGAATTCTACATTTCACACATAAGCGCTACTGGAGGATGGATTTCGTTTGTTACTTATTCTAATAAAAACAACAACAACAACAACTTATCTCAAGGTTCTTAAATGAGACGAAATCTACAGAAAGTAGTTACGGACGAGTCCGTTTCCTCTCCTCTTCAGCCTGTCCTTTGTCCACACATTGTCTCACTGCTTCTCCATTTCTTTTTCTGCAGCCGAAAAGCTTTCACAGGTGGCTGCTGCCTCAATATGAATATTTGATAGGCCTCATATATGTCCCTTGAGGGTAATTAAATATTAAAACACTTTCCGGTGGCTGTTTTGACTTTTCCGACTCCAAAGATGAGACACTATTGATATGGTTTTTTTTAAATGTGTGATGTTGTTTGCAGGGTTAACTTTTAGTTGTAGTATTGGGCGCCATTGATTAGCTGATTGGTTCATTATTCATTCATGTTCTCATATTCTTTCTCTTTCAGCGCGATGCCAAAGGACAGTACCTGTTTGACCTCATCTGCCACCATCTCAACCTGCTGGAGAAAGATTACTTTGGTATTCGATATGTTGACCCAGACAAGCAGAGGGTGAGTGAATTTGCGACGTTGCCGTCCTCTGCCCACCTTTTTTTACCGTGTCTCTATTTAATATCTAATTTGTCCCCTGAAAACGTTTTCAGAGCAAATCCTTTATCTCATAAAACAATATGTCTTTGTCGAAGGTAATACAGCTGTTTGAATGAGTAAGACTCAATTTTGAGATAGATAAAATGTTAATCTTAAAATGTCCAAGGAAACATCTCAACCATCTGTGGTCATAATTTACTGGCTTTCACCATCTCCACTCAGGCTAATTAATACGGGCTAATAACTGGAGAAGGAAGAATTACTCCGGATCGGATTAGTATTGCATTATCTTGCCAAGTCTGTGGATCGATTAAGTCTCACAAGGAGAGACGGATGCTTTAGTTAAATTTGTTAGGTACAAATGCCTGAACTTATAAATCGAATCTCCTGGACATAAGTATACAGGACAGGTATGTCGGCCTGCTGGTCATTATGCAAACTGGCAGAAGATTGCTATAAATATTAATCAACCGTAGACATTACCATAGCATTCGGTTCATTTGGAGAGCTTGGACCAAATGTTTCAGGGCTGGAAAATGGCATCTGCTTTGTACATTGGTTTTGCATTTTAGCTGAGAGATATTTAAAGAAAATTTGAAATCCTATTCATCATTGTGTTTTACAGTCACTGTATTGTGAGTGCAGTGTGCCATCACTGGCTCTGTTGTCTGAGTAAATACCAGGCAGGGAGATGACTTATTCAGTCATAATGCTGCCGAGAAATGAGACTTCAGACAGTAACGTTACATCCTCCTTTACCTCTTTCTCTCCCCTTCAGCATTGGTTGGAGTTTACAAAGTCAATTGCCAAACAGATTAAATGTAAGTATTTAAACCGTTAAGCAAATAGGGGCTAATTACAAAAGACTAAAGAAGAACACACCACACATACCAACACACTTAGAAACCATGGCAAAAGATTTTAAACATATATCTTTCCCCTTAGCCCAGCCTCCATTCACCATGTGTTTGCGTGTCAAGTTTTACCCGCCTGATCCTGCTGCTCTGAAAGAAGAAATCACCAGGTAAGATTTCAGGATTGCTGCATGGCTGCAGATGGAGGAGGGCTTGAGGGACTGATGGAAATACAATTGTAATCTTTGCCACTCATATCTCCCTTTCTCTTCCAGAGGTTTTAAGAATGCGTCGTGACACTTCCACTAGTCATGTAATACAAGCAGATGGTTGTTTAGCAGCTTTCGTCTTCAACTGTTCTCACGAGTAAATTTGAAAGTGGTAAAGGGCTTTTGTGTAGTTATGCACGCATCACAAGTAGGGCATCTTGTTTTATGAGTGAATTGTCTGATAATTAACAAAGAACAACAAGATCTGATATTACAAATCAGAGCTTGCATGATGTAAATTTTGTGAAACTGGGAGTAAGCCCACCGTTTTCTAAATCACACTGAAAAATAATATATTTTTACAAAACTTTCTTCAACACCCTTGGAAACCCTGTATGTATGTATGTATGTATGTATGTATGTATGTACTCAACTACTGACAATCCCACCATACAACTTTAAACCACAGTGTGAAAAGGCTGACGAAGAGCAAACCTCAGTGCAGTAGCATTAAAAATAAAATTAATGGATAAAAGATCGGTGCATGAGGGAGGGAATGAGCTGATGCGATGAAGTGCTGATGAGATGATGAGGTGGGTGTGACTAACAGGTGCACTGAAATGAGTGCACCTGTCATGAGTGAGGGTTTAGGAGAGAAGTGAAAATACTTCTTAGAGCTGTAACCATTCTTGATTTGAGAACTGAGGTTTAATAATTGTGACGGATTGATGACGGATTTTTGCTCAGTTTGCCTTCTCCATAATTGCATGGGTGAACTACGGTATTAAGTGCAAGTGTTAATGCAATACGTGGTGCAGGTGCAAAAGTAAAACCACATCATCCAGAGGTCAACAGAGAGTCTGGGTGCAGGACGCTTTGCGTCTACTCTTTTTTTTTGATACAGTAAGCTGCAGTGTCATAAAGCTCCCCAACAGGACTGTAGCCTACTGTGTGTGGCGTCCTTGACAGCTGAACAAACGGCTGTGAGGAGCAAGCCAGAGCACTGCGGAGTGCACAGATCCCTGGAAATCACATCCCTCGACTGGTTGCCGAGCAGTGAAATCTCCTATTCTTGCTCTTCTTGATTGAGCAGGGACGTCTCCTCCATCCTCCTCCTTCTGTTATGTCTGGAAGATCACACGCGCAGAGACACACAAGGATGGTGGACGAGCACCAACATGTTTGTAACTGCCTTTATACTGTTAATAATGCCAGAAAGTGGTGGCAGGATATACAAACAGCTCAATAACATCAACCCCAAACTGTACTCCGGCATGTTTCATTGCAGTGCTTCGTGCCACTGTGCTATTTATTGCTTTGTTGCTTGGAGAGAAGCAGAAGTTGTGTACAAGATAACAAAATACTGCGTTACTCTCACTGGACTTCAGTACAAACATCAATCATATTGTAGATCATACTCAATTCTCTAAATGAAAAGTCAGCCTCTAGTTCTGCATTCAGGTTGGATTCATGCGCCGTGTCTAATGATTCAGATAACTTTGGATTGACAATCTTAGATCCATTAGTTGTTTTTTTCGACGCATAGGTTGATTGTAAAAAGGGCCCACGAGTCATGGACAGGTTCTGCATTGCATCTGTAATAACTTACAGCCATCCCATCATCGTCATAAAGGAGACTGTAAACAGGGCATCTGCCTCGGAACCGCTCATCATAACAGTCTCTTTGTTTCTTAACACTATAAACTACAAACACGGGTTTCAGGCTCAGCATATATATATAACACATATAAAAGCACACTTTTCACAGGAGTCAGCCGCTTCTAACAACCTCTCTGACACCGAGGGTGCGTCGAGGGACACCTTACTTTTAAATCGTAAATATGACGGTATCGTTGCTCGTCTAAAAAACGACCCAGATCAGTTTCTCTGTGTTCCACTCCACAGATATCTCGTCTTCCTGCAGGTTAAGAGGGATCTCTATCACGGCCGCCTCCTGTGCAAGACATCCGATGCTGCTCTGTTGGCGGCCTACGTGTTGCAAGGTTCGACAATAAGGGTGTCGTCACAGAGTCAAATTCTATAACGCCACAAATCTTTTTAGTATCGGCCCTCAAGTAGTTAAATATTTTATCTCACACATTGCTGCAATGGTACTTTAATTTCAACGTAGCCTTCCCTGAACGTCCCAAATTGTGCTTATTATGCACCAAACTACAGATTGAAAAGAATGTATTTTCCCTCAGACCGTTTGTCTGCCACGTGTGACATATATTATTCAGTATGTTTGTGACATGCTGTAGATGTTACAATTCCCACATGACTCTGCCGTGTAGACAAACACCTGTGGCGGCTGTGTTTGTGCGGGTTTGTTGTTGTTTGTCACTTTCTGCCACAAACAACATGTAAGTTACTGCGTGTGCAAGCAGAGCGTGTCAGAAAGGTTGATGCCTCATACTGCTCTCGTTTTCGTTTAATGGGGAGTGATTTTTTACTCTGAATTATACTTCTGGTGCTTGCAGCCGTGACGTTTGGTAATGCAATCTAATTTCAAATCAAATAAGTGGACTCAAAAGACAAGGTCAAACATGGGAGTTGACCTTTCTTCTTTTTCTAACCTTCCAGCTGAAATTGGCGACCATGACCCCGGGAAACACCCACAGGGCTACAGCTCCAAGTTCCAGTTCTTCCCCAAGCACTCTGAAAAGTTGGAGCGGAGGATTGCTGACATCCACAAGGCTGAGCTGATGTAAGGTGACACTGGTCCATGGCCCGATTCCTACATTCACACTCACTGATACATATACTTTGAGGCGTGCTGCGCGTGATCTGCAAAGGGTCCGTGGTTTCTTTTTGGGGAACTGCGTTGTTTTAAAGGCTTGTTTCCTTCACAGCCTTGCATACCCACCTCTGCGAAACAAGGCACTGACATGTTCACGTACGCAAACAACAGTCTGCAACACACGGCAGACCGCTCGCTACGATTGCCCAGTTTCGAGGGGGCCCCGCCTCGGGCCTGCAGTGACCAGTGCTCACGCAGCCAATAATGCTGCTCAGTTTGTATTTGCTCCCCTTGGTGGTGCTGATTGTTCACAGAGTCCGGGAACAGTTGTGCGGGGATGTCGCGGTCCCCGCTCATTCTTCCATGTAGCGTTACAGATGTGTGTTGTGCCGTCAGGTTCAGCACGTCTACGTGTTAAAAATGTCGGAAAAAAGAGGTTTGACCACCTTTTGGATTTTGTGTCTAGTTTTTTGTCTAGGTGCAGTGTTCGTGTTGCACCCGGGGAGTGATTAGCAGTGGTCAGTCAGGGCTGGTTAACATTGCTTTGCCTCCTCGGCCTGCAGGTGGAAGGGTGTTGTTGCATGCCGAGGTCACGGCGGGTACACATGGCGACCCAATTGCCGTGAGCAGACACAGAAACATCGTCATCTTGCCACTCCGCACATTGCAGTGCTCAGATATGAGCTTAGCTTAGCATGTCATTGGCTTCCTTTGATTTATTGGCTGATAATTCACATGAATCAACCGTATTTGTGGGTACAACTTTTTAAAATTTTCTCTGAATCTTTTCACCATCTCTCACAGATACAGACATACAAACACAGTATTTATCAGTCGGGTGGACACAGGCACTGGTTTGATCCTACGCTGCCCTCTATCTTCCATTTATTCAATCTTTTTTGACAAAAATTGAAACATTCAAGAGGCAGCGCCCCAAACTCAAGTGTCATCACAGGAGAAAGTTGTATCTGAAGCCATTTTAGGAAAAGATCATCCCAATACGTAGACTCCATAACTAGAGAGAGTGATGGGGAAATATTTCCTCTCTGTCTGACAGAGTAAACACTCAGCTCATTCATCAAAAATCCACACAAACCTTGACCCAAAGGATGATGAAATAGAATAAAAGTTGAGCACAATAAGTGAGTTGATAGTTGTTTGTGTCAGAAGCCAATCGACTGACATTTTATTCTTTTCTCTCAGAGGTCAGAGTCCAGAAACGTCAGAGATGAACTTTCTCCAGAAGGCTCAGAGGCTGGAGACATACGGAGTGGACCCTCATCCATGCAAGGTGGTTATTACAAAAACACATGTATTCTGTGATGTAGTTTTTTTTAGAGTCTTAATTATGGCATTAAATATGCCATGTGACGCAAAGAGTCATTTTGTTTGATGTTTTTTTTGAGTAAATGTGAGATGAACTTTGAAGTCAATCATAAAATGTAATTGTTACTGTCTTGAAGTGTAAAGTATCAATGTTGGACAAGTAAATATAATCTATCTGTTATTTAAAATGATGATTCTAAAATAAAAAACTTGGGTTTATGTGCCTGTCAGGATGTGTCTGGCAACCCTGCTTTTCTGGCTTTTACTCCTTTTGGATTCACTGTGCTGCAAGGAAACAGGAGGGTCCATTTCCTCAAATGGTGAGTTAAGATGAAGTTAAAACTGTTCATGATGCTAGATAAAAAACATGTGCAACGGCCAGGTGCATGCTCACAAATTAAAGCCAGACTTTTTTGCCGTTTTTGTAAAGTAAAAGCTCCGTACAGAAAAGCAAAAGGTTCTAAGCAGACAGAAAAAAGATGACCGAAACATTATTTGAATTAACATATATCATCCTTAACAGCTTTATACAAAAGCTTGAAATAAACTGCTTCATACACTCAAGGAAAGGCCTTTTTTTCAGACCTTTTGTCTGTGAGTCATAAATGAGACTTTTTATGGCACCTTTCTATGATGTACAATACTCAGCAGTTTTTTAATGAGAGACTATAATATTACTTTTTACTTATTTACTAACATGACAGCATTAGTTTTCATGATTTTTTTAAGGCCTAATGTCCCGAGTTCAACACAAACACAGATGGAACGATGAGGATTATTGTTGATAAAGACTCATAACCTGAGAGGCCGAGGGAAGACGGGTAAGCACAGACAGGTAGCACAAAGCAGCCAGCTGGTAAATCCAAAACACAGGGAACAATAATAATAATAATAACTTAATAATTATAAGTCCAATCGAACACCAGAAAGGGACATTAACAGGGGACACACAAATGAAATACTTACTTCAGACAATATATCTGAAATTGTTGGGAGGAACCTGTAAAGCGTCCAAAAGCCACACCAACGACACGAGCAGAGAGGAGATCTGCAAACAAATGGAATCTGCTGCTCAGCCTCTAAGCACGGGGTGCACGGGATTAATCCCCTATCAGGTGTGCAGCCCTGGAGAAGCAGAGGAAATGAACGCAGCGACCGTCAGACGCCTTTCTTTTCTTTATTGCCCACTAAACTATGCTTTTTTTTAAGGATAAATGTATTGCATCGTGTCTTTCTGTGTCTCTCACACGCAGGGAGGAGGTGACCAAACTCAAGTTTGAAGCAAAGACATTCCATATATATGCAAATCAGACGGAGGTACGCGTGTATTATTTATTAAAACCTTTCCCTTTCTAGCCCGTGGAGCTCGCGAAGCTTTGTCCTCTGCATGGGACACTGCCACTGGGTAGCCTGTGTAATCCATAACAGTACATGTGAAGTCATTGTCTCTTTAACATGAGAATGAATCCACGCTTACCACGTTAAGTTGTATTGAAAGTCGTATAAACGGTATCGCTGGACATGTTACAGGATAAGAAGATCATACTGACGTACTTTGCACCTACACCGGAGGCCTGTAAGCATCTGTGGAAGTGTGGGGTCGAGAATCAGGCCTTCTTCAAGTGAGTCACAAGACCTGCAACACAAAGTGTGCGGAAAGGGGCATAATGTGAGTCACTATTTCATAAATCATGTAAATCACAATTTTCGCACAGGTTGGAGAAGTCAAGTCAAGTCCGCACTGTGTCCAGCAGTAATCTCTTCTTCAAGGGAAGTCGCTTCAGATACAGGTGAATAATTAAGTACGAATATCAAGTACGCATACGATTGGGCAGGTAAACGTTTATTTGTTGAGAACATATTGTCCTTGTAAAATCTCAATTTCTGTTTAATAAATCACATGAGAGGTTTTTATGTTTATTTTCTTTAGTGGGAAGGTTGCAAAAGAGGTGATGGAACAAAGTGCCAAAATTAAGAGAGACCCACCTGAGATACACAGGTCAGAATCTTTAAAAAATATTAAGATATAAGATAATATTGCCCTAAATGTGGGCTAACCAAGGTTTATTCATTCGGCGTATGACGTACAGCTGTGTTGTTTTCAGGCATGGCATGGTGCCCAGCAGGAGCTGTCCGTCCATCACCCACGGCCCTCGTTTGACCAGCGTGCCGAGGACCCGGCGGAGAGCTGTGCACATTTCCATCATGGAGGGTAAAGCACACAGTCAAAGGATCAGAATAATACCGTGAAGTAAAATAACTAACTTGTGGGTCATCAAATTGCCTCAGTCATCAGTGTGAAGCAGATGTTGGTCAGAGAGCCTGCACGTCCAGTGGTTCTTTCATTTTAAAATTTAAAATAAATGTAAAATAGAAATAGAAAAATAAAATTATTTTTATATAATTAAAGTTCGGCACTAGTTGAATAATTAACATTTCAACTATAATAATGAACTATTCTATGATTAAACTGTATTTTACCATGAACCCTTTTACCATCCAGCCAATACATCACCTATCTCCATAAATTCCTTTTATCGAACTATAATTGTTCATTCATTATTTCTATGTAATGCTCCTTCAATAATTGCTGTTCCTAGTGTTCGGGTGTTGCATCTTCATGCAACATGTGGCTTTAAAAAGAACATAAAAACGCAATTGTTTTACTCTTCAAATAACTTGAACCACAACCCTCTGCTGACTGCAAAACCCTTCGGGTAGGATTGTTTAGGGAATCACTTTGTTGGTCCGTGTCACTTGATCTGTTGGGATCACACACACACACACACACACACACTCCTGGTTTCATCCGGGGTCCTTTTTAAGGCGCTGACGTTATTTCGATACACTGACATCCTCTTTATACAATGCAGCCTTTCTGTCAGTCATTTTCTTCACTCAGAGGGGATACACACGCACGCACGCACACACACACACACACACACACACACAAGCTGGAGCCAGTGACTCGCAGCAGTATTTAGACACAGAGAAGTCAGTTTGTAAAGGGCACGCACTGACCCGTCTTTTCTCCAACAGGCTATTAACCTTTTGCCGATGCTGTCATTGTGAGTAAATTTGCAAGCCTCCCTAAAAATAAATGAACTTACAGCACAGTGTCTTCCACAAAGACGGCCCTTTCTGTAAAACCAGACCCCCTCATGTCACCGACATCCAGGGAAGGCCTCCGACATTGCGACCCACTGAAACAAACCCCCAGTGTGTTTTTTGTCGCTGCTCTCCACTGGTAACATGATCCCGGCCTGAAAATAGCTCCTGCTGTCAGGGGCCACGCCGCGTGTGCCGAGCGCCGCGGACTGCGACACAAGTGAGCCACATTCCCCCGGCCCTTGTCTTTCACCCTCCTCGTCTGTCTCTCTATTTTCCTACCGCTGCCGGCGGTACGCGGGAGCTCTCTGTGCAGGAGTGAGGGCTGCTTAGCGAAGCCGGTCGGAGACAAAGACAGACAGTGAGAGGAACAGACAGATAAAAGGAAGACGGAGAGCGGCAAACGGGAGAAACGGGAAACACAGTTAGGGAGGGAAGGTAGACCGGAGCCATGGTGAAGTGTCTGATCCGGATCAAGACCACGGTGAACGTTCACTTGCGCATGGTCAATCACTGCTATCGGGAAGTGAACGTGCGCGTGCTGTCTCTGGGCCCCAGGCTCCTGGGCAGGGCCCTGGGGCTCGTACCGCTCTTCCCCGCCCTCCAGGCGGGGGTCTCTGCGACCTCGGGCTCTGGTCCTGGGTCGGGACGGGGCTCGGGGACTCCCTCCAGACTAGCGGTGCCGGTCCAACGGCACGGCCGCAACCAGTCAGCAGGCGGCGGCGGCGCAGGTAAAGCGCGGGGCTGCGGCTTCTGTCACGTGGGATTGGGGAGTGTTGTCCTTCTTGTGGATTCAAATTGGAGCAACTTTGTTTTAAAGAGTAGTTTGAACAATGAGACAGATATTTCAAGTTTCTCCGATTCCAAAACCCAAACGCATGGATCAATTCGTGGAACTTTGTAATGTTTTGTGTACGGCTCCATGGATCCAGTTCACATTTTGCCTGCAGAGTAACTTTTGCTTAAACGAGTATGGTTTACTTGAAGGTTAGAGTTGCCGTTGATTTAATTTAGAAATAGATTACATGCCTGCAGGATGGGATCAGTCTCTCGAGCATCGGTCGTGACAAGCTGACCACTTGTTGCCCCTGTGTTCAACCGCTCACTGTACCCGGATACTGCCTCAAAATCTCAAAACCGAGCAGAGTCAACAGTCACATTTGTACAAAATACACCGTCGCGTCCTTTAGAGTCACCGACCGGTCGACCTAATAGTTCTTGACTATGCCTTTGCCTCACGAACCCGCCTCCCTCTGTGGTGTCCTTGCAGGTCTCGAGTCCCTGCGAGACAGCGCCCACTCCACGCCCGTGCGCTCCGTCTCCCATGGCGATTCCTTCATGTCTTCCCGGGGCCACCTGGAGGACGGCAGCGAGGCCAGCACGTCGGCGGTCATCTCCGACGAGGCCTACAGCCCCTCGGACAGCATGCTGTCCACGCCCGTGGCCGAGCACGGGGCGGAGGTGCCCCCGGCGCGCCACCTCAACGGCGCCCCGCGCAGCGTCGACGAGCAGGGGTCACAGGCGGGCGCGTCGAGGGAGGGCCACGCCGCGGAGTTCCCCGCCGACCGGAGGGCGCCGCGTAGGAAGGCGGCGTCGTCGTCGCCGCCGAGCGACGTGGAGGAGCTGAACAAGTTCATCCTGAGCGTGCTGCGTTTGTTCCTGGTGACCATCGGGCTGCTGTTCGCCCTGCTGCTGCTCCTCATCATGCTGACCGAGTCGGACCTGGACATTGCCTTCCTGAGGGACATCCGCAAGACCCCCGAATTCCAGCAGTTCCACTTTGAGTACTTCTGCCCCCTGCGGCGCTGGTTCGCCTGTAAGCTGCGATGGGTGGGAGGACTCCTCGTCAGCAAGTGAGGCGGAGACCGAAGTGCGGCAACGCGGTGGAGATGCGACACGTGCGACAACGGGCGAGGACGGGAGGAGAGAGAAGGGTGCCGTCCGTGTTCCCGACTCACCTGCTCCCAGGAGGAGGTTCCCGTGCCAAGCCTCGCGCTGTTGTTTATGTTTATGTTTGACCATCACTGCAACAACAAAAAAAAACAAAAAAAAAGGAGGAAATCACATTTTACTTTGGAAACTCAGGTCATTTCAAGGTATTTTATTTTTTACACAAAGACACAGTAACACGGTTTGATCCAAACGCCGAAAAGGGACAAACAAGTCTGACAGACTTCACTAATTTAACCAGTTAATAGTTGCCTTTATTTTTGTATTCATTTTCATGTTGAAATATCATTGTAAGACGGAATGAACCCGTGTGTTGTGCAACCTGAGGGTTTGAATGAAGCACTGAGGGAAAAACAATAACATTACTTCACATTCATGGTTCCAGGGGGTCGGAGAAGGTGTGAAATGGAAAGATCAGTCCTGAATCAAATTATGCTCGCAAATGTTATAACTGTTTTCTAGCCATGAAGGGTTTTTCACCATGTGACACAGTGACAGGAAAGCGTAGGAAAATGAATACAGGCCATTTTGAGATAATTGTGCTAAAGTGTCACACAACCCAACATCTGGTAAGTCAATTGAAACAAAAGGAATGAATTTGCGGTCACTATATGTTGCCGCTGTCCTCAAATGGTCCTTTTTGTGATAAGTGTGACTTCGGTTGTGGTCGGACGTCTATTTAAAGTGCTCACGTGACCATTTTTGTTCAGCCACTAAAGTTGTATTGTCCGATGACTGTAAGTTATGGATAATTGTAAAGCTATAAGTAAGTAATGGAGGTGGTAGGTTAGTGGGGTTTTCTTTAATAGCAGCCAAATAATTCTTATAGCTACAATCAACTTCAATGTGTAAGGAACAGTTGTGCGTTCGCCGTAGTTACTTTGACAGTAGTCGTAAAGGTGATGGGACTATGTGAGCTCCAGCTGTAGTGATAGTGAAGTACTTGGTTAGTTCTTTGACTCCCACACATAAAACAGTTTATCTTGATGTGCAATACTGTTGATACGGAGAAAAAAAAAAAGATCCTTTCCACTAAGGGAGCTTTGACCTTGTTTTGACTTTTGTAAAGGACATAAATTAGTGCTATATTTTCCCCACATCGTACGGTTAAGAGAGTCTGAGTTAAGTTTGTGTAAAGCGTCATAAAACTTTGTTTAGCCCTGCTGTTTCACATTCATGCATTTTAAATGTTGAGACTGAATTCATTTAAATCATGTTTCCATTTTCATACAAACTGACGTCTCATTTACACACATAGTGGCTTTTAATGGACTTAAAGCATTATTCTTTACAGCGGATGTATAGTTTTCCACCTTGCTTACAAGACGCGCCACGTTTACGTCATTCTGCAATATTCCTCATCACCACTACCAAAGAAACCTCTGTTGTCTGATGCGTCAACAGACGGGAATTCTGATCTCCTTCTGCAGCCTTATTACGTAGATTTCATTTCACAGGTCAGCCCGAAGTTATTCTTTACATCACAGAGCAGTCAACAGTTAAATGTTGGTCCTCCTTACAAGCCACTAGCGATTAAATAAAGATAGCAGGTACCCTCTTACTTCAACTGAAATGGATGTGTTTCTTATACAACAAGAGGAGTGGTGTAGGATGACGAGTGGCTGAGATGTGTAGGACACTTAATGAAATGAATTTGCACATCTTTCCTCTCCAAAAATGCAGCAGTTGTAATTTGACAGAAAACAGTTATTAAGTCTCTCCGGGATTAAATACATGGCTTTTAATGTCCATTTCAAGATTCAGAAATAGTGAAGTAACCGGAAGTATTAATCATTTCTAGTAGTAATGAGTTGAGTGACTAGTACAGACACATTGACCCTTGTGTTATATTTAACGGAAAAAAGTATTTTCTTGTGATTGATTTTTCAGACTTGACAAGCGGCTTATGCATTTGCTTTGATTCATACGGTGCTCGCTGGTTTCTGATCGACTGTCAGGTGAAAGAAAGGCCGGGAGAGGCACATGCGATAACTGTAGTATAATTTGTTCTTCAAAGTCTCACTTTATGTTCATGTATAACAAAAGGCTAAACATAATTTGGGCAATAAATAACAGATAATGTTATGAATAGTAATAATTATATACAGCAAAGGAATGTCGGTCTGAAGAGCCTGTAGATGCATGAGTGAAGGGAACGGAGCCCACAGTTCCCGACCAATCACAAGGAGAGTAACGTCGCCAAGTCAAGTTTAATTGTTGCACCGCGCTGCTCTTCCTTGATCCATTTTAGAGGTACGGAGTAGATGGTCGGTCAAATACTTCAAATACTTGTAAATGACCCACGCACCCATCAGTGGACCCATTTTCACTCGACTCTGGAGAGGTTCGTATTTTCAGCTCATAAAGAACAGCAGAAGTAGCAGATTCAACTACCTGAATATTTCCTCTTGCAATGTAGTGATTTTTGTATTGTTAAAATCTGTCAAATCACTTGTACTGCTAAAGAGGGGCGACGGTTCCATTAACGGGAATCTCTTGTGTTGGTTTTATTGGGTCCTGTAAGCGGGAATGAGGCCTCTGATGTGGTTTTACTGTACGCTTCTTTCCTGTACCATGGAAATGTCTCTGTAAGCATGTGTTCTGCATTTATTACCTCCAAACAAGATCGCTTTCTTTCCAATCACTGACGTACGGCTGGTGTCACTTATTTATGAATAGATCTGATCTACTCTTGACGTCTGGCAGCTACAACCTCTAGAAGATCAATGAATTCACAGAGGAAGCAAACCGTCGAGAAGAAACGGCTCCTTTTGATGTTTTTCAGATTGTCCCTAAAACCAGAGTCAATGATAATAATCACAATTCATTTCTGTCACAATGCTGCCCTCCAAAGGTAAAAAACGGCGATGCTAAAATGAGTTGCACTCACACTCGAAATGTTTTGTGTAAAAATCTCCCCATTTATTCACTTTGCTTCAGTCACGAAATAAAATATTTTTAAAAAGAATACAAAAAACACCCGAAGGGAACCAATTTTAGAAATTGTTTGGGTCCTTCAACACATTTGAAGTATTAAACGTTATAAATATTATAACAGAAAAGTAAAGAGCAAAGCCAACAAAGTGAGTCAATCAGTTATTCATTTGCAACCAACAGTTCAAGTACAGAGTCACGAGACAGGTACCGAATGAAATGTTCTTGTCAGAATATTTGATTTATTGACTGCTGTTGTAATGTAATTTGGGGTTTGAACAAATATAACAAAGATTAGCAGCCGTTTTATTTTAATGAAGAAAATCACAAATAACGCTCAGGAGAACTATGAGTAAAGAAACAGGTGGGGTGGGGGTGGTCCTCATTAATACAGAACAATCCACACAGAAAACTGGAAAAAAAAGATAAATACAACTGCATTTTACAATTTAGTGTGCGACTTACGACAACGGCCTTAAAGCGATACGGAGCTCCAGACAAAGAGGAGAGAACCGAGGTAACCTCCTTCCCCTCGACCGTAACGAAAATATCTCCTACCTGAAAGAAGGTCGACTAAAGGTCGTGGTCACATTATTGCTCCATGCATCATCTTAGTCTGAGAAGACCTGCAGGCGCCCTGACCCGTTGCCGCCGACGAAGGCATTCCTTGACGGGTGGAAAGCAGCGACCGACAGCACCGTGTTGAAGTTCTCCCCGTCCACAAAGTGGCGCTGCAGTTGGCCGCTTTGGTGGAACACCTGCACCGACCGGGGCCGCGACGAGCTGACCACAAAGCAGTCTTCCCGCTTGGGGTCCCACACCGCCGACAGCTTGGTCAGTTTGGTCGGCCGGGCCGTGTGTGTGTTGTGTCTGAAGATGAAGAAGGATGTGGGTCCGGTCGTGAGCCTCAAACCGACACAGAAACACACAGGAACAACAAAGTCGGCAAACGAATAACAGGGATTCACCTGATGGATGTCAGCAGGGGGGATTTTTCCGTCATTGAAGATGTGTCGTATATCCTGTCGGTTGAGGACAGAATTGAGCTGCAGTTGAAAGGTCAATTGCAATAAGAACATAACATAATTCTGCTGAGCCGGCTTCACCTGATCATCTCATCCATACAGGTGGTGAGAAGCCTGTTTCCAGTGCAAGGGGAGAAATAGGCGCTGGATATGCTCAAAGAGTGTCCATGCAGCTGGGAGACCGCCGGGGTTTTTGAATTTTTCAGACATCTGCTGTCGTAAATATTCACCGTCCTGCAGACAAGACCCAAACATTTCTGTAGTTTGTTAAAAACGCCAACAAGACAGGGAAACGTGGATGTACTGTATCAATAATCAGACGTACCGGCGTTCTGCAACCGCAAAGTACTGTTTCTGTAAAGGGTGGACGCTGACACAGCGCAGGGTCTTGTCCAAAGAGTGAAGGGACTCGTGGGTGTTTCTTCAGAGAAACGGAAAGGCAGCCAAGCATGTTTATTAGGAAGAATTATTCATTGACAAGAGTTATAATTCTCCACATAAATCGGTTATTCTTCTACATAGTGGAGAGAGACAAAAAAAAACTCATGTATCTCATTATGGGCTATTAGTCGTTACCCTGGAGTCCGCCTATCGACAATGGCAACTTCTCCCAACCAGTTCCCGACTACCAGTGTCGAACAGTCACGTGACATGAAGTCGAACGTTCTCAGGCCATCTTCAATGTCGTACACCTGCGACAACGCACAAAGATTAAGGTGGTACCGATAAGTAAGTAATGCCAATTATATATATATATATATATATATATATATGTACGGGTACATTTTGTGAAACAAAGGCCATCTCACATCGTGAAAGACGGCCTTCTCTACGTCCATGCAGCGTAGAGATCCGTCATAGCTGCAGCTCAGCAGCTGGGTGGGGTGAGCCCTGGAGAACGCCATGCAGCTGACTGGACGAGTGTGGGGCTCGAAGAGCAGCACACCATCATCAACCCCCTCGCCACCCTGAGGGAACATACAGAGAACGCAGTGTGTGTGTGTGTGTGTGTTTTTAGAGATATCATGTGATATAAAATAGTATGTGTCCACTGTGCCTCACATTCACAGTAGGTGAGATATACAACTCTTCCCGACCTTTTCACTTAAAAAATGTGCAAAAAAGAAAAAGGCATTATCCTCAGGTACCTCTGCTGTTGTTCACTAAGTGTAATAGCTAACTTTTTTTCCTTTTATGATGCAGCACATTGAGTCTCTGGAGCGTGTGGCGCCGTCTGGTGACCAATTTATAAACATTAAGATTGGTGGAAAGAAAAATAACTCACCAGCTTCCAGAGTCCAACATTGCCCAGCTTGTCGCCGGCGGCAACCAACAGGCTGCTGGTACACGGGTGGAAGGAAGCAGAGTAGATGTGGCCCTTCACCACTTTGGCCACTGTGTCCTCAGTTATCCTCATGTTCTTCAGGGCTGAGCGGTAGCTGCATAGAGACAGTAGTGAATGCACTGACCTACGGGAGCACAATGTGCTCTCAGAGAAGGAGAAGTTACATCTGAAGAAGCCGAAAGAATCAAAATCGAGAAAAAAAAGTCTTACTCTTTCAGATCAAGATCCACTTTTCTTTCTTCGGGGTAACCCTATGAAAAGAAAAGTCATCAACTGATCCAGGAGCAAAGCAAATAAGTATAATCCAGCAAATATGCAGGCAACATATCAACAGTAGACATATCCAAAATAATCTTTACCTTTGAAAGTTATAGTGGTCATGGGGCACAACAGTAAACCGCTTAATGCGTATTTACATTTCTGGGAGAAAACCAGATTGGTAAAAACATTTTCAAAGTAATGTCAACATGTAACATTGCAATAGCCAATGGGGGAAAGTCCCACCTCTGAGCACAGCTCAAGAAGTGATGATGGCAGCTTGCTTCCCTCGTCCATGTTGATCGGATCCATAGGCAGAGGACCGGGAGGTTTCTTGAGTGACTTAAAATAAATTAGAAAAACTCAAGTGAGTTCCAAAATCAGGAAATAAATAAAGAAATACATTTTTTTTTTTTAAATACTCTGTATAATATTTTCATGTAGTTACCGTTTGCATGTACAGCAACCCCTCGGGTTCACCAGGAAGTATCAAGGTATTGGGCTCTTTATTTTGGAGACGAAGGGATTTGCGAGCCGGCAGCGCTTCCTTTGCAGCAGCCTTCACCCTGCCACTGCAGAAAAGAACACTAAAGTTGCATAAAGGAGACACTGGTTTGTTGACTTCTGAAATATTATACGTGTAGCTAAAACTTAAAAAAGGAAAGTGTCTATAGGCAACATCTTTTCTGAGGAAATGTTTAAAAAGTAATCAATTATCAGCTGTATGAAATGGAGAAAGACAAAAGATAAAATGGACATAATTTCAACTGACCACTGTCAACTCCTTCTTCACCTCCTTCTTGGCTTTGCTCTTCTACATACATACTAGTTTCATGTTTGAAACTAATTTGAAACCGTATCCTCCCAGACACCTTTAAAGTAATTGGCAGGCTGAGGCACAACCGATGTAAATAACTAATACGCTGATGAAGAGTTCAGAATTCACACCGTACCTCAGGAGACGCCTCTGCGATGCCTTCGGCTGTGTCAACTGCTTTAACTCCTCAGTTGCCTTTTAAAAAGAAAAACAAGAGAAACACAAAGTCGGTATATTGGTATTAATGCAAAATAAACTGGAAGAATTTGTACCTCTCTGGGAACCGTCACTTTATCGTGGTGGAGAGGTTTGTGTGTCCCTATGAACCTGAGGGCTGTGTTGTCGGGAGCCTTGTGCTCCTGGTAGGGTTACCCTTGGCAAAGTGGTCTCAGGCGAGGGGCCAGACTAAGAATGGTTCAAGACTCCCATGAAAAAACGTAAGAGGGAAGGAGTTACCCGGCCCGGAGGAAGCCCGGGGCCCCCATTTGGAGCCAGGCCCAGATGGAGGGCCCGACAGCGAGCGTCTGGTGGCCGGGTTTACCGCGGAACCCGGCCGGGCACAGCCCGAAGGAGTGACGCGGCAGCCCAACACTCTACTCCCCATGGGCTCACCACCTGTGGAGGAAATCGATGGGGTCGGGTGCGCTGCTACAAGGGTGGCAGTGACAGTGGGGGGTCTAGACGGAACAGACCTGGGCAGCAGATGCTGGCTCTGGGGACGTGGAACGTAACCTCTCTGGGGGGGAAGGAGCCGGAGCTTGTGCGGGAGGTGGAGCGTTATCAGTTGGATATGGTGGGGCTTACCTCTACGCACAACCTTGGCTCTGGAACCACACTCCTGGATAGGGGGTGGACTCTATTCTACTCCGGAGTGGCCCATGGTGTGAGGCGCCAGGCGGGTGTGGGGATACTCATAAGTCCCCAGCTGAGTGCTGCTACATTGGAGTTTACCCCGGTGGACAAAAGGGTCGCCTCCCTACGCCTTCGGGTGGTGGGGGGGAAAACTCTGACTGTTGTCTGTGCATATGCACCAAACAGCAGCTCAGACTATTCGGCCTTTTTGGAGACCCTGAATGGAGTCCTGCATGGGGCTCCAGTAGGGGACTCCATAGTCCTACTGGGAGACTTCAATGCGCACGTGGGCGACGATGGAGAGAACTGGAGAGGCGTGATTGGGAGGAATGGCCTCCCTGATCTGAACCCGAACGGGTGTTTGTTACTGGACTTCTGTGCCAGTCACGGATTGTCCATAACAAACACCATGTTCGAACATAAGGATGTTCATAAGTGTACGTGGTACCAGAGCACCCTAGGCCAAAGATCAATGATCGATTTTGTAATCGTATCGTCTGATCTTAGGCCGCATGTTCTGGACACTCGGGTAAAGAGAGGGGCAGAGCTGTCAACTGATCACCATCTGGTTGTGAGCTGGGTCAGAGGATGGGGGAAGACTCGGGACAGACCCGGTAAACCCAAGCGTGTAGTGAGGGTGAACTGGGAACGTCTGGAGGAGGCCCCGGTCCAAAAGATTTTCAACTCACACCTCCGGCGGAGCTTCTCTCACATTCCTGTGGAGGTAGGGGACATTGAACCAGAGTGGTCTATGTTCAAAACCTCCATTGGTGAAGCCGCGGCGGTGAGTTGTGGCCTCAAGGTCTTAGGTGCATCAAGGGGCGGTAACCCTCGAACCTCGTGGTGGACACCGGTGGTCAGGAAAGCCGTCCGACTGAAGAAAGAGGCCTTCCGGGTTATGATATCCGGTGGGACTCCAGAGGCAGTTGCTCGACAGGCTCGAAGGGCAGCAGCCTCTGCGTGATGGAGGCAAAGCAGCGAGTATGGGAGGAGTTCGGGGTAACTATGGAGAAGGACTTTCGATCGGCACCAAAGTGTTTTTGGAAGACCATCCGGCACCTCAGGAGGGGGAAACGGGGAACCATCCAAGCTGTGTACAGTAAGGATGGGACCCTGTTGACCGCGACTGAGGAGGTTATCGGGCGGTGGAAGGAACACTTTGAGGAACTCCTGAACCCAACTACTACGCCCTCGTTGGTAGAGGCAGAGATACTGTGGGAGGTGCTGCGGGAGTACGGGGTGAGTGGGTCCTTGCTTGGGGCCATCCAATCCTTGTACGCCCAAAGCGAGAGCTGTGTTCGGGTGCTCGGCAGTAAGTCGAAGGCGTTTCCGGTGGGGGTTGGCCTTCGCCAGGGCTGCGTCTTGTCACCAATCTTGTTTGTGGTTTTCATGGACAGGATATCGAGGCGTTGTCGGGGGGAGGAGGGTCTACAGTTCGGGGGGCTGCGGATCACATCGCTGCTTTTTGCAGATGATGTGGTCCTGATGGCATCTTCCGTCTGTGACCTCCAACTCTCACTGGAACGTTTCGCAGTTGAGTGTGAAGCGGTCGGGATGAGGATTAGCACCTCTAAATCTGAGGCCATGGTTCTCAGCAGGAAACCGATGGATTGCCTACTCCAGGTAGGGAATGTGTCCCTACCCCAAGTGAAGGAGTTCAAGTACCTCGGGGTCTTGTTCACGAGTGAGGGGAAGATGGAGTGTGACTTTGGCCGGAGAATCAGAGCAGCGGGGGCGGTATTGCACTCGCTTTACCGCACCGTTGTGACGAAAAGAGAGCTGAGCCGGAAGGCAAAGCTCTCGATCTACCGGTCAATCTTCGTTCCTACCCTCACCTATGGTCATGAAGGATGGGTCATGACCGAAAGAACTAGGTCACGGGTACAAGCGGCCGAAATGGGTTTCCTCAGGAGAGTGGCTGGCGTCTCCCTTAGGGATAGGGTGAGAAGCTCAGCCATTCGCGAGGAGCTCGGAGTAGAGCCGCTGCTCCTTTGCGTCGAAAGGAGCCAGTTGAGGTGGTTTGGGCATCTGGTGAGGATGCCCCCTGGGCACCTCCCTAGGGAGGTGTTTCAGGCACGGCCAGCTGGGAAGAGGCCCCGGGGAAGACCCAGGACTAGGTGGAGAGATTATATCTCTGCACTGGCCTGGGAACGCCTTGGGATCCCCCAGTCAGAGCTGGTAGATGTGGCCCGGGAAAGGGAAGTTTGGGGTCCCCTGCTGGAGCTGCTGCCCCCGCGACCCGACCCCGGATAAGCGGTTGAAGATGGATGGATGGAATTTGTACCTAGATTTTTCACTTTAAAAAAATAATTGACTCCACTTTCATGACAACATAAAAGCATGTATTATTTACAATATTCTGCTATTAACACTGCATGCTGATCCACTGCATTGTTTAAGAAACATAACATAATTTAATGTAAAATATATGTATGGGACATCTTTACATTTATTACATATTTTTGTATTTATTTAGAACAACAAGTGAAATACTGTTGTTGGTTGTCATTTTAGATGTCACTGCTTGGTGTGGCTATTATCTCAATTAAAATGGACAATAAATGGACCGTGTTTCAGAACTACCTGGAACAGGTTGATGGATGACAGAAAAGCTTGATTCTGTCTGATGTTCTCCAGACGCTCCAGCTCATATGGCGAAAGTCCGCCATGGTCACTGCGCGTTGTTGTCTTCCCCTTTCAACAAAATATAGGCAGGCAAATTAGAAGTGAAAAAATGAAAACAAGCAGTTTTCGTAATGGGCAGGTCTCTTACCTTTTTCTGTGTTTTAGCGTGAGTTTTTTCGGGTGAGTAGCGGTACCGTTTCGGTGCTGATCGTCGCCCTGGTCCCTCCGCAGGGCTCATTTCCTACAAGGTGCGCATCATTGACAGGTGACCAACGTTGTCACTTTTCCAGAGAAGCTCGCGTCTTGTTGTCTAAGCAGCTAACGTAATTTCATCCAACAAATATAACGTCAGATACCTTAATATAACCTTAACTAAATACTTGACAAACTCACCAATGACTGTACCGCCACAGTAACGCGTTTTGTTCGTCTTGTCTCCATACAAGTGCACGTATGTCAGCACGCGTGGACTTGTCACGTCAGGATAACTGTCTTCAGGTGGTTATAAGTTACTCACACACTTATAAGGCTGTTTGACTTCTGATATTTTAAAGGAGAAAAACGCTTTCGCGCCACGCTGAAAAGTTATTTAATTGCCCCCGCCCACTTTGTGTTGTGAAACGAAATGTTAGCAGCTCATTGGTTGTCGTTATATGTCAACAGAATAGGGGCTGTTCTTCTTACTGTCAACAGCCAATGAGCAGCCTTACATTTTGATTGACATCTCATCTCTGGCGTCCGGCTTGGGCTTCGACAGAAACGGACCATGTCGCCACCTTTTGGCAGGTGTTGTCAATTGCATGCTGGAACATGACGTAACGTCTCTGATATATATAACTATTTTTCAATGCATGAATGCGGCCCCAAAAATAACGTTAAAACGTTTAACAATTGACTGAGTAATATTGCCAGAGTTTTTCTACAGTGAAAATAGTTCACATTTGACAAACAAACACAGATATCCCCAATAATAAAGGCAGTAGTATAGCAGAAAGTGGAAAAGTGTTTAATATAAAAACAAACAAACACAGACGTCACCAATAATAAAGGAAGTAGTATAGCAGAAGGTGGATAATTGTTTAATATAACAACAAGTAGTAATGGAAAAAACAAGCTCCCCATCTGAGCTGACTCTGTACCTTTTGGGTATGATTGTCTTTAAATGTATTTAATCAGGTCAGAAAAGATCTTCTTTAAAAAAGTTCTGAGATTTTCATACACAAGATTGTGTCTTCATGGAGCCATAAGAACTCTTTCACCAAAGAATGGAGGCAATGGCCCACGTAAGATGTGTGATAACAGAATATAATCGATCTATAGGAATTTTCTTTGCACCATGAATGTCACAGGATTATGTGAAGTATTGGTAAAGTGGCTACTCCTTCTTTTCCCCCCACCTCTGTTCCTTGAAAACAGCCTGACGTGGTACAACCATCCTCACAGGCAAACTTTAAACAATAAAATGCATCTTCATAATGAATATATTAAGTAAAATTGATTGGCGTGTACCTTATGTTGAGAAATCAAACTTAAAACAGCATAAAAGCAGGAAAGTGTGTTGTCTTGGTTTACATTTTCCTGTCTTCCATGTCAGTCCTCAAACTACAGGTAGAGGGTAGGAAGCGCATGCAGCCAGTCCGCACATGTTTCTTCCTCGCTCGATCATGAAATATCTGTTGGAATAAAAAAAATTTAAAAAGTTGGCCACGTGATCACTGGAAGCCTTAACAAGTCACCTCAGCAGAGACACACTATATTTACCCGTTCACTCCCCAGCTGGTGCCCCACGAGTTCTTCACGATCCAATACGGCGTGCCGTTGTCTTCGGCACCATAACCGACAGCCAGGACCGCGTGATTCACCTTATCCGCCGTGTCCTTACACTCGGTGCTGAACAGACAACGCTGACGCTTTTAGATCAATGGAGTACATGTGTTTTGTAGGGTGAGTGGGCCGCATCCTGCCTATCCGCTGTTACTGTCGATATGTTTTATGCCTCTTTGAGACTCAAAAACGCAGGCTAATATTAGCACTGTTATGAGAGCGAGGACAGAGAGCGGACTGAAATGTATTACAAGCACTCAGAACTGCATGCAGCGCAACAAATGAGCTATTGGATCTTCACAGTGGTTCAAGTTGTGATTTTCTCCCTATTAGGCACGGACATGTTGCAAGCCAGCGGGGCAATACGCTGCGTGATAAACATACTTGGTAGTGGAGTACGTTTCTGGGGTCACTACACAGGCCCGACACTAATGTGGAAGCCAACGGGCCTGCAAAGTGGTAAAACATCCACAAATCAAACAAAAGTCTATAATCAACATTGTGCTCTAATGGGGGAAGCAGATTTCTGTCACATTACATTACAGGTCATTTAGCAGACGCTTTTATCCAAAGCGACTTACATTACACTTTAAACCCATGGCTTTTTCACATTTTTGCCCTGGGAGCAATTAGGGGTTAGGTGTCTTGCTCAGGGACACTTCAACATGGAACATGGGGCAGAACATGGGGCAGCCTGGAGTCGAACCACCAACCTTGTGCTTCCCAGCACACCTTCTCTAACCCCTGCGCCACGACAACATCCCGCCAATCACCATCCACAAGATGTTGTGTATTTAAATGGTTGCCTTGTTGGTTCCACAATCCCTTTTAAAGGTGAAATAACTCTGGGTTACGAGACAAAAAACCCTTCAGTAGTATTACAAACATTTCATTAGTGCAAAAGGGACAGACACAGTCAGTGACAACGATGAATCCCGTGGTGACTTGTTGAAGACAGTAGCTCACCTGGTGTAAACACCTTCTTTGTAGTGCATAAAATCAGCAGTGACCTCAAAGGCAAAGGACACGGGGTTGAGCCGGGCCACAGCATCAACCATGGCCTTTTCATCATACTGTGGGTGGACAAACATACCAACATTTTAATACAGTTAACAGAAAAATGCAGTGAGGAGTCAACGTGATCCAGTGTGTCAGACTGTCTCTTTATGTATTCACAACAAAGTCAAATAATTATAAGAAACTATTTTGTCTATTTGTTTCTTCCTTTTATCGGCTAACCAACAAAGACATGCTTAACTGTACCTGATCTTTGACCTTGTGGTCATTTCTTTAATGTATCTCCACATGTTTACACTTGTTCACTCACGCTTGTTATGTTGACAACATCCAGGACAAAAGCAGCTGCGAGGGAAGACTCGAACTGGCAAGTGTCATCCTGAAAAGAGTAAAAGAGACAAATATCTTACATTGTAAAATTATTTAAAATTGTAAAAAAAAATACAATGAGAAATTTCTCCAGTAAAGTCCCACATGTCCTTTGTAGGGATAGTCCTCCTCTGTCATGAGGCCATTGTTGTATTTGATGTACTCAAATGCCTGGCTGGGGAGCCCTCTGAAACAAACAAGATATTGTTGTTGCCAAATGCAAATATTCTTCTTGGTGTATAAAAAAACAACTGATGTGCCAACGTGATCTCCAAAACCTGTTCGTAAAAATGTATGCGAAATATTTGACATAGAAATTCGTAACAATACATACTAACTGGCAGTGGTTAACCATGCCCCTTGAGTGGACGTCTCTCCGCCATGTTGGATTTTTTGAGGTTGTTAGGGTTAGTATTGTATTCTTACAATTTAACATTGATTTCTCGTTAAAAATGGAATCACAACACGTTTATTTTACATCGTTAGACTTCACGGAGTGTGTTTACGGGGTGCAGGTCCCCATTCACTTTGAATAGGGTGACGTCCTCAGTTGCAGTCCGTATTTATTTAGTTTGTATCACTACGAATTTGTATCTTCAAGATTTTCGTATACATTTTTACGAACAGGTTTTGGAGATCAGGCTGGATGTGCAAACATGTCACTTACCCCATGCAGCCATGATTGTTGAAGTCTTGGGCACAATCTATCAGCTGCTGCTCGGACTGGTAAAGAAAGCAAACGGCATTGTGCGTTCATAGAAAGCAATAATTGTGTACTACTAGTTGGTACTATCAACAAAGAAGGCAAATATCAGATAAAACTCTAAAACGGATTTATTTATTGAGTAAATCTGCTAAACTATCTTTGTGGGAAAGTGCCTCATGGGAAATCTATTGATGATGGATAGCACTGAATAATAAAAAATAAACTCACCAGAGATATTAACTTCCCGGAAGCAATAGCGTTCACTGACTCCAAACAGCCAGTGGTAGAGAAGGTCCAGCAGCTTCCACACGGACCCTGAAGATGCAAACAGGTGATGAATCAACAGAAACTGTGAGGTGAAACAAGTTTTTTTTCAGTGACTATGTATGGAAAGCAACAGCAGGTGAGTTGATGGGAGGGAACCCAGGTGTAACGTAGGGGGCGGAGCTATTTACATTAACAGTTATTAACTGCTGATTATTAAGAGTTCTGTTTGTCAATTTGAGGTTTTGCACCCGGGACGACCCCAGAGAATGAAAGAGCGCTTGACGCCAGACAGAAAAAGAAGAAGTGTGAAAGAAAGAAAAAGAAAAAATGTGTCTGGTCTTGAGTGAAATCGGGCTTCCAGGGAATCTCAGTTCCTTTTTCAAGTGGGGGAACTCTACCACGTTAAATAGGGGCACGGCGAGCAACTTGACTATTGTTAAAGTTAAAGGGGAACTGATTTTTTGAAGGTCAACGGCATGTGAAAACAGAACAATGTCCTCTTTGTCTCAGTCTTATTTATGCTCATTTCCGCTTTAAGTCCAGTCACATAAATGAATGTTGGACTAATGTGACTAATGTCTCCACTTGTTCGGTGCTGACTGTGAAATCAAAACAGTTTTCCTCGTCTGCTTAATACAGCTGTTATAATGGCTACTGAGTTACTACTCATCGTCACTTTCTCATAATGAACTAGCAGGGAAGTGAATGTGTTTCTTTGGATTACTGTCCTGCCGATTCTCCCTCCGGATAGAGGTGCTATCTCTTGTAGGCACCACAGCGAGGATACCTGGTTCTTCACGGGAGTCACAATGTTGCCCCTCTCCCTCCAGTCAACGGACTCGGGTTGAGGACCGGCGCTGCTGTGATGAGCCCCATCGGTAGCAGAGCAGTTCTACAAAAGACCGGAACCAAAAGGTTTTTGCCAAGTAAAGACCGCTGGTGGTGGCTGTGGTCAAATTTATAATTCTTAAGTCTTACCTGAGGCTCGGTCAAGAGAAAGGATTTCCTGAATTCCTCAAATGTCATGCCAGAGAACTGATTCAAGCCCACTAGATTTGAAAATGAAGATCGTTGTGAGGACATGCACGTCTTTCATAATATTATAAAGTGTTTTCAGAAGAGATACGCAGTAATACGCATGAAACGTGTTGTTGAGGAGCTCTACTGTACTTGTGAAGGAGTGATTTCCAGCATTGTGACGATCAATTTTCCTCTTATTTTCCGTGAATGTGCGAAGCCGGTGGTAATACTCCTCGTTATCATAAATGTTGTTGTACTGCAGTCAAACAGAGAAATGTAACAGCATATAGAAGATAAATAAATAGTTTTTACTTTTTAGTAAAGAGATAAAAACCAAACGATTAAAAGACTGAAGTACATTTCAGTAACATTGTTGTTATGTAGGCTAATTACATACCTGTGACATCCACTGTTTGAATTGATATTCCTCTGATAGGGAAAAGAATAAAGCCTTCTTTTAATTAAAACACCTAATCAATATTTCAAACTTTCACGTGGTGTTATAACGGGAAATGCTTCACGGGGCTGTTAAGAACACAATAGAGAAGAGACAGGTGGTGAATCACGTGATATTAGGTAATCAAGCGTTCTGTAAGGGTCATGTAAACTTGCTAAGGCAAACCAGCAGCTAACTAAATACTTATTCCATCGTTGTTCACCAGAGAATAAACATATCTGCATATCTTTTGTAGCCTAGGCATTCATCTTCAACACTTGGTTTTGTCGCCTGCTATCAAATCGGTTTCGATTTGCAGGCTACGTTAACTTTAATCGACGGCGATTCGCACTTTGCAACAAACTAAACTGAACTCAACTGTAAAAAAAACAAAAAACTGCGTGAATGTTTACTCACCTTCGAGTAACACGAACGGAGTTAAATGAACTAAACCAAAAAAGGCTGTTATGATGCACAAAACACCGAGCGCCATGGTTCCTCCCGTCGAGACTCTCCGAAGGCTGTGAGAGAGCGTCACAGGAGCCGGATGGATTTTACGGTAACACCCTCTGCCCTGTGCCCCCCTCTTTATGGTCCCCACTAGGACTGTAGCTTAAAACAAATGTGGAAGCCTTGAAGACACTTCTCCCCCTGAGAAAGAATATATTTATTAACAAGAGGTAATCAGGAAAGAATACACTTTTATACAAAACTGGAAATACTACTCAAGATGTTGAATCAGACTGAAAGATAATTCTCATACCACTGGGTATTGCTCACTGCAAACATTTGATGTGCCTGTTAGAGGGTAAAGATTCATGTGCAAGGGAGGGATATAAATACAGTACACATACTGTTCTAGATATAGATTTGATTTGAACACGTGAAAGTGGTGCATGCCTGCCACTTAAGCTTTAGGTGTTTTTCTATACAAAGCCTGTAAAAAATACCTATAAATATTCCAAGAATAAGCACAATATTACTACTGTATAGTTCCTGCTAACACATTGGAAAAGACAGGATACAGAATGTGTTACACTTATAAGTTTCTTTCAACATTTGCTCTAAGGTATCATACACAGAAAAGTTATTACAGAGTTGAACGATCATAAGGATAACACATTTCAAGGGATATGTTTTTAACACATTGCACATTAGGAAATGCATCAGACTGCCTGTACACAATATCGTACACAGCAAATATTTCTTGCTTCATTGGCAAATTGTAGAACAAAATAGTTTACATACTTTTGTATATAGGCTATTTCATGATTAAGGCAAAACCATAATGCACTGGCCAAAGAGGATTAACCATAAAAACGACGCTCTTTCTTTCTGAGTGAAGCTGGAAATTTAACTTCCTGAAGTGGCTCAATATTGGTTACGTCTGCTACATACTCTGCCCGGTGCTTATACTGTATATACATCATGTTGCCCACCAGGGGAATACGGTGATTATATGCAAAGCATTAAAAACCCATCTCTCCAAACCGAAAACACGTGTCCAACACTTCCGAGTCTCCAACCGCTGTCATTCAGCAGCTGCATAAAACATCACAGCACATGAGGCAACTTTAGCCAACTCAGTACTCCCACTTTTAACTCCCTTCATGTGGCTGAGAAGTTTTCAAAAGTGTCAAACTGTTTTCTTTTTTTTAGTCAAATCAAATTTTTGATAGCTGGTCGGCATCGAGACAGTTGCACTTCCGTGCCGTTCTTTTATGACTTTTACATCAAAGCAAAAAAGTGGGAGTTGACCAACGTGTGTCAAATGTGACCAACATGTATCATGAATGAGCGTCTTATACCATGCTGCACATTCCCAATAGAATATAACTAATTATCTTATTTATATACTCTCGTCTGTTTTCTCTGTGGTGGAAAATAAACGCATCAAAGATTGGCATTTAAGACGAGAAATAACATATAAATACTCTGTGTAACTATATAAATGAAACCTCTCTGGGCTTCTACTTAGTCTCTAATAACGATTATACACTAACGAGTCCATTGAGGAGCACATACTAGAAGGGCAATGCCTACTGTGTCTAATACAAATAATAGTTTATGTACATTATATTATACTGTTTTTGTAGATTCCTCTACACTGGCTGACCGGCTTCATCGTCACCTGGTATGAAAGTTCCACCACCCAATACGATAAAGCAAACACTGACGAGAAAACTGCTCTGCGCATCATCAGGACGGAGATGCCGTCCACGGAGGACCAGTCCAGCCCCCCCAGTGCAGGAGGAAGGCCATCAGGATCATCAGGGATGACTTTACTTTAAAGACTTTAACCTGTTCACAGTTTATTTATATGTATATATAGATATATAAATAAATAAACTGTGAACTGAATATACACAACATATATATATATTTTGCAATTGAAATTGATGTCTGCCCATATTTCATTTTTAATTTTATATATGTTACATTTTCTCTCTAGATTTTGAATTTTACAAACTATTTCATGTTTAGGATTCAAATATTGACTTTCATGATCACTGTTGGAGTGAGATCTAGGAGTTTGATTGAGTTTGCTTCTCTATAACTGTTGTGCACATAAATAAACGGTCAGTTCATCTATAGGGTTGAGAGACTGAGAGAGAGTTCCTCTTCATGATGAAGTTTTGGGCTCAATTCTCAGAGAAGCGTCATACAAGCTCTCCTCATCCAGGGCTGTACTGCTGTCCAGCAAGTACTTTGCAACCTAAACCAACAATGAACACAGAGAAAATGTATAAGAATGATTCCATCTTTATCTCAAACAAATTCCAATATATAATTTTTCTGAACTGACTCTTAAATCAAAAAATAAATAAAACAATATTAAAAAGTACTAAACACACAATAAAACAATACCAGATAAGATAAACTCGCCTTTGGTTGATAATCAATCTTGTAAGCCGTCTGCTGAAATTGCCGTATTTCTCTGATAATGTGAGATATCTGGAGACAAATAAATTAAAAACATGTTAAGACAGAAACAACATTATGTTCATGCTGTTGTGAGTACTTTTGCACACTGGGGTTCTCTACCATCCTCATCTTGGAAAAGTTAACCAGATTGTCCTCAGTGTAATTGGGGGTTCCTTCCTCGATGAAGGCCAGGTCCGTCAGGTACATTCCAAGGTAGGGAACACAGGGAGGGTCGCAGCTGAGGGCAAGAGGAGCTTCAGTCACAGAGGCACAGTGTCACGGTGTGGGTTATTTCCTGTCTTATTTTGTAGTTTCTGCTTTGTGTCTCCCTGGGTAACTTCACTTCCTGCCTGGTCCTGTCATCCCCTGTGATTATCTGATTGTTTCCACCTGTGTCCAATCACCTTCACCTCCCTAGTGTATTAAAGCAGTGTGTGTCTCTTGTCACTTGTCACGTCATTGTCCATCGTCCCGGATGTGTCTCGTTCCTGCCTGCCTTTTTTGCCCCCTGTTCCTGTGTGTGTTTTTGCCCCTTGGCCTTTTGCTTTGAACATTTTGACTATTAAAGTCTTTTTGGTTTAAAGTCTGCACTTTGAGTCCTGCCTTCCCACGCATCCCTGACACACAGTGCTCAAACCCTAAAGAGGAAAATATAAAACTTCTCTGGCACCAACGCGGGAAAAGCCACAGATACTCACTTCTTCAAAGCTTCTCTCAGGTTTTTGAATCGCCCCTCTGACGACACCAGCTTCTGTAACTTGTCGATAACGGTCTTTGTCTAGAAAATGGACCAAAGAAAAACTGTTATTACCAGCAACCCCAAAGGTGATTGAAATCTTCCTCAGAGTTTTATGAACTGAGGACACTGCTCTTCAAAATAACCACTACCAGCCTCAGTAAGAGCATGTCGTCTTCTAAAAGATCTTTGAAAAATACCACTTTTTCACATTTTTCCAGGTTGAACACTATATTTGAAGCTATTGCCATGGGGCAATTGGCTCAGCTCAGCGTTGGAAATGGGGAATCAACCAACCTGGTTCTGTCCACGGGAAACAAAATTTTCACCTCTAAACCAACAACAAACACATTATACCTGTTTTATTTAAGCTGTATAAAAATCTAAGACTCTAAAACTTCCTGTAGTCTTGGCTGGTTGACAGAACTCCAGGAAGTCACTGACCCTCAGAAAGCCTTGTATTTAGTGTTCAAAGCTGAGTGTGGTGATGCTCTTTTCATCAGACGCTCGGCAAGAGTGAAAAATACAAATATTCCCCAGAATGGTGAAGCGGTCCTTTAGGGCCGGCTGAACCTTATAACTAATTATTTATCTAAATCTTACACACAGTCACCTTCCCTGCTGGGAAGCAATGTCCAAATTGTCTGATACCTGCTTGGAGACCTTGAGCCAGGTCTTCTTGAGGCGGAAGATGGAGCTGCGATTGAGAGAGGATGTGATCTCCAGCATGGCGTTGTAGTTGTGGAGGCAGCGACAGATGTCGGCCACCGCCACCCACTTCTCAATAACGCCCACTCGCAGGTTGACGTCGTCCCACTGAAGGATCTCTGTGGCGATCTTGTTGCTGACCTGACAAAAAGGAGAAAACCGTCAATAAACTAACCGTCAATCAATCCATCCATCCATTGATCTATATCTATATATCTACCCACATCTATCTTCCTATCTATACATACATCCATCTATCAATAAAGCAGTTGGAGGCATACCACCAGGTAAAAAGAATATTCTCTGATCTAAATATGAGCAAAGTGAGATGTTTGTACAATAACATTCATTTTCAAATCTATCATTCGTTCCATCTAACTATCCAGCTATCTGTCTATCTACAATACAACACTAGGGTAAAAACATACATCGTTGAAATGCTTGGTTGTCTTCATAATGTAGGGAGTTCTCTCGTTCTTGTCGTTCTTCATCCATCCTTGACCAAAGAACTCCCTGTAGAAGAAAATCGACAATGAAAAACACACCAACATTTGCTACGTGAGCTTCCCTTCACTCCCACACTCAGCCTTTATCCTTTTTCGTCCCACAGACCAAGTGCCTGTGATTGTGCATTCCTGTGTACTCACTCGTATGGGATGACCTTGAAGACCAGGTGGTCCAGCAGGGTGAGTTGCTCAGCTATCTCCAGGGCAGAATGGCTCTCAAACGGCTCAGTCTTACAGTCCTCCGAGGCCTGAGACAAAAACACACAAACGGTGAAAAGCATTATCACAATTAGAGTCCAAATTCTTTTGACATGATGTTTTGACTGAAAGGGGCTTTTCATTTCACTCACCATCTGTATGATCTCCTCCAGTGTGACCTGGTTGTCTCCAGGGTCCTCCTGAGTGAGAGTCCTACATGCAAAATCATAGAAGTGTCATTCTTTAAGTTTCAGTTTGGGTTACAGCCCCTTTAAGCGTTCGTAATGTTTAGCTGCAGTAGGTCATTAGCTCAACACTGCAGTGTACAATGAGATGTGTCATATGTGAGCTTGTGCCATGGAGCGACAATAACAGAAGAACCAACCTGATGATGTTAGCAGCTGCCTTTCTTTCCTGTGTCAGGAGCTCCGGGTCATGCATCACCTCCTCCAGGAAGCCGATTACCCGCATCTTCATCTCGGTGTTGAGCTCAAAGTCCTGAGGACCAACACGGGAACAACAAGCAGAGTCATCACCGAAGTTTGTTTTTTCCAATTACAAATGCACAAAAGACATATTGAAACCCACAAAAACAGTCATAGGGGGAAAGGTGCACTCTACCTGCGAGTGTTTGGAGACCCAGTGACGCAGAACATTCAGGACTCTGTTCGTGGCAGCTCTTCTGATAACAAACTCTTTGTCCCCATTCCTCTGGTCGGTTGGAAAACCTGGAACACGGTAAACATTTATTCTCCGAGAGAAATTAAACACTATAACTATAACTCCAAATACAGAAGAATTGCATCAACATTTATTTTTTTTATTTTTTTTGTATTCCCTAAAATTCTTCCATTGAAGTAGCATCGCCTCACACGACTGACCTGCGCTGGCGAGCGACATGCGGCGGTACTTCTCCTTGGTTGGTGTGCCTTCGTTGGCACCGGCGGTGGCAATGGCAAAGGCCGATGCAGCGGAAAGGGCACTGCGGTTACTGTCCAGCTCACGGCAAGATGACACCACCATGCCAACGTTGAAAGAAAACAGGGAAAATTCTGCAGGATGGAGAAGAAAAAAGATTTTTTAATAAGCTAGAAACCCTTAACTGCTCTTCACTATTTTTATTCAACAGTTGGGCAGTTTTTATTTAAGAAAAACCCAATTAATTAGCAGTCCTATATTTGTCAGCGAGAGTCACCAGTTGATCTGTGGAAGGTTATTTCTGAAAGGTGCTGTGAAAGTACTATTTGTGGCTACTGAAGCTCAGTTGTTGACCAGTGGAGGGCAACCGAGAGCCAAAACAAACCCAGTACAGTATGTCCTTCAGCTTCGTGGCACTGACGGCGTACACACCACTGTATCTGCATCCCTGCCACCCCCCCCTCCACTCCCCCACTTCCTCCCTCCCTCCCTGCCTTCCTCCGTTCAGCCGGGGGCGGTATAGAAGAACATGCACATCGTTGCTAAGGTACAAGGTTTCCTTCCACCTACTCACACAAGGCACTGGCTTCCCTTGTATGCAGCACCGTGGGAAGAGAACACGCTGGGGATGGATTGTGCCTCACTACCTACGGGGTGGATGCTCCCTCTCTGTGCGGCACGGGGAGGGCCAGCAGGCTGTGGGTGGGTTTTTTTCATCAAGACCTTATTTGGTTGTAGCTACGCTTGTCAAATTCCGAAAAAGAAGAAAAAGTTCCCCATACAGCCCACCGCTGCGGTGTTTATTTAACTCTGCGAGTTACTCTTCTCATCTCGACATTCCTGCACTTCTCACACGTATCAGATGTTAAAAAAACACAAAGAGACCTTTTGTTGCTTTTGATATTATTGATTGACAGAGAGGTTTGCTTACTAACAACACGTTGTGCTTTTACTGCCAGTGTAGATGTTTCCCCCTATTCATGGCTTTTATGCTAAGCTAAACTTAGCAGTGTCTTTTTTTTTGTGAAATCAATCTTATATCTCTCATATATTTCTCTGCAAGAAAGCCAACACTTTGTCAGGAAATATCCTGCCTTGGCGCGTGGACATGAATGGCAGCTGGTTTTACGGATGCTTACGGGTCTTACAAGTACTGCTCCACTGCAGTTGCTCTTTTTAAAACGGATTGTATTTCAGTTTAACTGCTCATTTCACATTATCAGGTTTTCTGACTAGTTGAATCATCAGCAAGCTGGAATTTCAAGTGCTCATAGAGGAAGTGACTTTAGAATAGAATGACTGTTTTTTCTTCACATTACTAATTATATAGTTATTGAAATTAGCTATTATTATTGATTTTATTTTGCCATTATTCAAATTTACCAAGACACTCCACTGGCACTAAGCGCTTAGCTAGTGTAGCACCTTTTGAATTCTTACCAAGTTACATAATAATCTTGCCAACTTGTTTGTTATTGAACCGGTGGGTCAAAAGTAGATGAAACAATGCTGCGGACATGGAACCTCTTCAGAGCGCAGAGACAAAGTATACTGCACCAGAGTTTTTCGACTTGACGTTCTTGGGCGTTGATGGTGATTTGGGAGGAGACATTTCTGCTTCGGCTTCCTCACTCTGTCTCGGCTCCTGATCACATTCTTCTCTCACAGATGCTTCTGGGAAGACAAAAATGTTTCACAATCAAGAAAAGAAAGGCAGTAGAGGATGAGACGTGCATAAAACTTAAATAAAATGTTATGTTTAAAAATAAACATACATAGAAGACCGTTTTTTAATCTCACGTTTGACATGCAACATATATTATAAATGAGATAGAAAGTCACAGTTACTATAGTACGAGTGGAGGACGCATACAAGAAATGAGCATGGCTGTGGGCTGGTGAAAATGCTTCTACACTTCACATGAACCTCATTAAAACGGAGCAAAAATCCCACGGACAGTGATCCTGACCTTGCTTGTTAGGGACAGACTCCTCCGCCTTGCCTTCGGCTTTGGTCTCTCCCTCATCGGGGATTTTGCCGGCCACGTTGCCGGCCACATAGAGCTTGTTGATGTCGAGGGTGGTCTTACTGAAGGGCGATATGGTGGAGTGCACGCTTGTGTAGCCATTGGGAGAACAGCTGAGTGCAGCCAGGTCCAGGGCTTTGCCCCCTGTGATGATGGGGATGTTGAGCGAAAGCTTGCGACGGCGGTTGGGCGAGGACGACTTGGTGATGGAGAGCGGAGGAGGGGAGGAGAATTTGCGGCTGACGCGTGGCGACGTGGGTGGCTCGCCGTAGAGGAGTTTGTTGTTCTGGCTGCTGGCGAAGAAAAGCTCCAAAGAACTGCAGAAAAAAAAAGACAGGGAATATTAAGAAGAGCATCTTTTTCACAACTGCGACTATAACTTTGGTTAATTATCTCCGGTGACCTGAATAAGAAAGCACTGGAAAGAATTTGCTGTAAAGGAGGTTCATGGTGCACTCAGTGTCAGTACATGGAAGCAGAGAGGGAACATATTAACCACGGGGCTCTTCAGGAGCTCCTGCCTCTTTTATTTAAGCTACATTGTTTAAGACAGCATCCTTCTTGCACTGAGAGCCACCCCCTCTGAAGGCCTATAAATAGCATGTCAAGTGACAGTGTGGGAGGCACGGGTGCTGCCAACAGCAACTAGCCCAGGGGAGGCCCACAGAGACGCGGGGAGAGAGAAACGGAGAGAAAGGGGGAGCCGGATAGAGAAAGGGGGGAGAGAAAAAAGGGAGAAAGATACAGGGGTTTGCGGTGCAAACAAAACAAAAAAAAACTGAGGGGTGGGGCGGGGGTGAGAACGGAGCAGCGTAGTGGATATGGATTCCACCACAGCGAAGGCTGCTGGCTGGGAGTGGGCGAATGGGAAGCCTGCAGCCCCGTGTGGCGTTAGCTGCAGCCATGTTGTGTCTCCTCACCTAAAATTGTAAAAGAAAGGAGGCAAAAATGTCAAAGATGGGAATCGGGGGAGGCCGAAAAAAGGCAAAGCACAAAAAGCAAAGTGGAGAGTTGCGAAAGGTTAGGGTGAACCAGGAGAGAGGAGAATTGAGAGGAGATAGTCAAGCAGGAGGAGAGAGAGGAGTAAGAGACAAATAAATAAGGAGCAAGAGAGGAGAGCAAGGTGTGGGTGCAAAACACCACCATCAATATTTAATACCGTAGAGCCGCTGCAGATGATGGGAGAAAGGGAGAGAAAGAGGGAGGAAGGGAGGTAGAAGACGAGGAGAGAGGGAGAGGGTGGGGTCCTGCAGCAGAGTGAAGGGTTGCCATGGTGACAGCGCAGCGGAGAGCGGAATGGTCAGACTCGGGGAAAGAAAAATGAAAAAGTGAGAGAATGGAAAAGGGTAAAAGAGAGGAATGAGAAAGAAGAGGAGGGGGTCAGGGAGAGGTGGGTGGACGCAGGACCCAATTAACTGTGTTGGTGGACACAGAAGTCGAGACGAGTGGATGTGTTGGGGGTGACCTCGCGCTGCCTTTCCTCCGGTCCCTTCTCACCTGGACAGGGTATGATAGCATGAAGGGCTGCTCACAGACACTCGCGAGAGAAAAGACAAACCCAGGCGCACGGGCAGTCCCACCTGTTCACTGCACCATTGCAGCACTGTTGGCTGCGTCCTCCGGAGAAAAACACATTTCAAACTTTGCTCCTTTATCAGTTGTCACAATCGTCATGGCTTGGGCTCGCACTGCTTGGAGGAGTCATGTGTTACGTTCAGCTCTCTCTTTTAAATGTAGAAACATTTCAGGAAGAGGGACTACAGTAACTCTGAATTAAACTCTCCCCTCTGTTTCGGTTGCAGTTTCAGTTTGTTCAGACACTTTTCCTTTGATTTACTTTGGGGGATATCGTCGTGCACTTCAAGTCTGCCCCGTGTACAGCGCTCTGATTTGCCCGGTTGTTGAGAGGTACAATGCAATTAAACTCGCTGTTTTGGGCTTTGATGGACAAGAAGTTTTCATTTGACTTTGGAGCTCCGCAAGTTGGTTTACTGTGACTAGACTAAGAATGTTACTTACAGCAGTGTTAGCTGCCCTGCAGAGCTCTACTTGGGCACAGTGGTGCTTTGAGCTAACGTCAGTGTGCCAATGTGGTTACAGTGATAATACTAATGGGATGAATAGACTTTGACTTGATGGTGCTAAATGAAAAGTCAGGGGATACTTGAAGTGAGCAAGATTCGTCATTAGGGGACGATTACATAACTGTACAAAATGAGACTGCAATCCATGCAATAGTTATATTGATCAAATATTTAATTTATGGATCAAGATGGTGGACCAACCAAGTCACGTATCATAGTGCTGGTTGCGGACCTCTTAACCTGCCAATCTGTATTTAAGTCTTTGTAGCAGCATTTGCATGTTTCAACAAAGTAAAATATATTTTCTTTATTAACTGAAGCTGAAATTCACCCACCAGCCACAAGTGTGAAATAAAACCCGTTTTAAATCATCATTCATCAATCCTTTAACCATGACAGGGAGAAATTCCCTTAAGACGTTAAGGTCGCTATCTTCAAACGCTCTCTATTAGGCTGCAACAAAAATACGGTTAGTGTGTAAGATTTCATATCGGTGAGCTCATAAAATCCCGTCAACGTCTTGGAACAGCCTCACTCGGGGGATCACTCACCGTGCAGGGATGGCGCTGATGGGCTTCTTGTAGATGGTGATGAGCTTGTCCAGCACCACGTCAGCGCTGGTGAACACGCGGTAGGAGTGGAGGAAAGTGTTCAGGAAGTCGATGGAGAGGAAGCGCAAGTCGGTCAGCCGCTCCAACAGGCGCTCCACGCTGGCGTAGCGGATCTGCAGCACCTTGCAAGAGTTCATCATCTTGCTGAAGCGGATGTCGACGTCATCACAGTACAAGCTGGTGTCCGACCTGTGATGGGGATTAACTGAGGTTAGGAATGTGATTCAGCTCCCAGTATTTAGCAACAGTAGGACACTTGTGGGCGCATTTGTGCTCTTGTGATCTTTGTGAGAACCAATTACAGACTTTAAAAGTGAGGGGATTTTTTTCAAATTAATCACTTCACTTATTTAACTCGCCAATTCGAGAGTTCGGCCACACATGTTCATGCATATTTTATGTATGTATGTAATCCCAATGCCAATCTCTCTTCATGCATGTGAAATATATGTGCATTTCTGCGCGATTTTCAGACTCTCACTTAATCATCTGTGGCACAGTCACTTTACTGTTTTCCTCAAAAGCGTTCATCATCAGACCATTGCAGCGAATGTTGTCGATGCACTGAAAGGCAAGCAGACAGACAGAGGGATCATAATACAGCACGAGGGCTCCAACAAACCTGTGGATAAGACATGTTGTTGTGTTCTGATCTTTGCAATGCCACGCTCCGTCCCGAAATTACGTTTGCAGCCTACAATTGAATGCTGTCAATTGACAATGTAAACTTTTATTTATCTAATGATGCTTAAGTCAAATCATCCCTTCTTGGGGCACATTGAGTCTGTAATCACGCAGGTGGGGGACACACGCACCTGGCTGATGTCGCTCGTCCACGCTGCTTTCTCTTGTCGGGACGAAGCCACCAGGATGATGGTGTACGGCTGGACGTCTTTGGGCTCCACCATCACTTTGAAGTCGAGGTGCTCTACGTCCTGGCCACTGCGCTCCACTCTGGCTGCAACGTTCAACCAAATTGATTTTACTGTGACGGGGTTGATTGTCGTATGCTGAGAGAAAACACTGTGAGAAGAGAGACGTTTACACTCAGCAAAGCTGAAAGTCTAGCGCAAACTTCTGGGAGGGACAACAAGGGCTCAAAGAAACTACATAACTCATCACAATGTAACTTGCTATTCATCTTTTTCGATTTTTTCTAAGGTTTTTTCTATTCACGTTAAATGGAGAAACCCAATAGATTTACTCTACATGTTTCAAATACAACAAACGTTGGAAAATATTGTACATAATAACTTACACTCGTCATCTGTCCCCTCCGGCTCCTCCATCAGTGTGCAGTCTATGAGAGACACCACTCCATTCTGTAACAGAGTTCAGACGTCACATACAGCTTGCTGATAGACAGCGTAGGTTTCTTCGTAGTGTTTGGACCTCTGAACAAATCCTGCTTAAAAAGGCATCGTAAACAAGAAGAAATGTCTTAAATTTGTTGACAAAATGCAAAGCTTCTTCAACATTTCCCTTTTTGTCCTTCAGTTGTGGAAATACCTAAGCTCTCAATTGATTTAATTAGCGGTGTAACCAATTTAGTTTATTTTGTTTTATAGGATACTTTAAGAAAATAGTCATTTTTTTCTAAGATCAGGTCCTCTTGAGTAAATTCCTAGATGCACCTTAGTGATGTGTAGTTTTCCTCCGGAGCCGCGAGTACAGATGATGAGATGTTTGGAGAAGAGGAAACACTGTCGCTCCCCTTCTTTCTTCAGAGACAGAGAGCCCAGTCGGCCTCTGGTGATCTTCCCTTTCTCGCTCATCGGCACCTGGATCAGCGAACCTGTGGAGTGTCACCATCACGCACACACACACAAACACACACACAGACACACGGGAGAGAATACACATGATATGTGACTTTGACATTGATCTTATCTTGAGTTAACTTGTGTGTGTGAACATTTAGACTTTTGTCATTTGCAGTTTGCAGTTACATTTAAAAGTGTAACAGGCATTTTATTTACATGTCTGCACAGGTGGAGGAATGTGCTGAACATCTGGGGAAGATTATGTGTGATGATTCACAACAGAAATGTTGCAGAAGAGACGTGTGAGGATGGTGTTAAAGAAACGATATCTATAACTGTTGACCGTTACTGATAGTTAGTTCTTCACTCAGTAAGAAATTTAGTGATAACATTACATTTACTAGTTACTGTAATGCTTTATTACTTAGATATCTCGGGTCAACTTGTTTGCTTTCCGAACTTAAAAAGCGGATTAATTCTCAGTTTGGTCTCTTTGCGTTCAGTGATGAATTGTCCAAAGCAAATGTTACTGTTCGAGACTTTGTTTTACTTACCTTGTCTGACAAATGTCTGACTGGTGTCCAGCAGCACTTCACAACCCTCCACAATCATCCGCTCAATAGCCAAGTTCTTCCTGATGTTCTCCGTCTCGCTCACCTCATCATGCATGATTCTGAAGGTAAAGAATTCAAATGACAAACTTCACTGTCCAAGTGTTGAACTCGTTGAATTGCATGAAGGTGACACCTCTGCATTTATTCATTGACACTCAGGGTCAACATGTACTGAAGCACAATGTGCAATATATAATTTCAATTGCTTGAGTGACAGAAAGCGCTACCTGGAAAGTTCCTCCAGCTTTGACTTGGCGTAGTCCAAGCTGGTTCTCTCTACGTGCTCATGGGGCGTGTGAGCCAGCAGCTCGTGCAGAGTCAGGATGTAACGAGGGATCTGAGAGATAATGATGAGGGAAGATGTTTCATTGAGTTATTGAAATCTGTCCAACCTTTTGAATGAGTAAACTGAATAATGAATGGTTTGCCTGAAAATCTAATGGATCCTTTCTTTTACCAGCGATCATATTGTTAATGTAATTTAGGCTTTAAATGTTACACTCTTTGCCCTGATGGGGGAGCCATGATTAACAGTCATTTATTTATGCTTAAATCCTGTTTTCCAGAAGTCATCGGTCTAACTCGCGTGTGATTTGTCTGACAAAACTGTGTGGTTTTGACAAAACAATTTTTGCAGAGTGCAATGTTTAAAAACCCCACACTTCATTTAACTGCAATACAATTCTAAGGTACAAAGGTGAAAATGTTAAGAGCCATAGTTCAGATTTGTAAGGCTTTGCGTTACTTTATAATTTTAACATGATATTGATGTCTACCTACAAGTAAACCAAGTTTGGTTAATCCAGGTCAGTACAAAAAACGTTTTGTTTCTTCAGTAGGAACTGCGGTTGATGTGCATGCACTAAACAACGTGTACAGGCTTATTCGTTACAACACAGTCTTAAGATTGTGTAATAACACTGCTGTTATCAACACTGTAAGTCCCACCTGAAACATGGGGTAAGTGAGGAAGGTCTCCAGTGTCCTCTCCTCACAGTCGGGCTTGGCCTCGTACTGCTTCAGGAGCTTGTCAAAGTCTCGGTTCTGTTTGCAGTGAGCTAGGATCTGCAGGCTGTACTGATGGTTCCTCACAAACTCCTGGTAGATGTTGAGCATGGGAAGCAAGATGTCAAAGAGGTCCGCTGTAAAAAGAAGAAAAAATCTCAATATATATATATATATATACATATATATGTATATACATAGTACAGAATTATTCAGTTATGTTGTTTAAAATGTGAATTATGTGAGGACAAAAGGCAATGTTTCTGGAGAAATCTTTGGATGCTATGAGTGCCAAAAGCTGATTGGTGGCCCTCTCAGGTAGGAATCTCAAAAACATCACAATATCTTTATTTCTATGCATGATTTGGTGGACCGGACCCATTGATAAACACCAACAGCAACACGCCAAATATTGAATTTTGTGAGTGGCCGAGGGACGGTCTCTGTGTCACTTACCCAGCACCAGTGTTGGCCAGCTGGCTATCCGTGCCTTCAGGCCCTGGTAGAAGATCTGATGGAGGAACATGATGGTCTCACTGATCAAACAGATCAAAGCAAAACAGCGGTTATGAGCGATTGTTCCTGTGTGGCAGATTCCAATGTCGCACTGTCACAACCAGCCTCAACACCAGCCACCTGTTGAGGAAGATGCTGCTGACGTCATCGTGGGTGATTGGCGGTTTCTTGGAGCTGGCGGCCATGCGCAGCGGCCGCAGGAAGTTGTTGACCAGGATGTGGAGCTGCTGGACGTATTCGGCCTCGGCCTCCAGCATGCTAAACACCACCTGGTTCCTCTTCCTCATGCTTTCCGCGTGAGGCGAACGGATGTAGTCCTGTATGATGGTTTTCCATTTTCTGCGACAAATCCAACCACGCAGGAAACTCTGGACCTGTTATGGAAAAGGTAAGCTCAGACAAGTTAAGCCACATTTGCGCACAAGCAGAGATTTGTGACTACACTGAGGTAATCCAGTGGGGTTTTACAAGCCAAACAAAAAGGCTTTTCTCTATAAAGAAGCTATTTTTAGTCCAACTTATTCTGCAGCTTTGGAAAACATTTTGAGGTTTTAATGTCCAATGCCATGATGTGTTGATTGTACTGATATTTTCAGGTACATTAAAATAAATATGGAATTTAAAATGAGGTCTGGGAAAGAGATGTTGGTCTCTTGAGATCTGTATTGGTACTGATAATAGTGAGGGATACTGGGTGTGTGAATCATGGGTGTTAAAACAGCTTCCTGCTGCAGTTGGAAGAAGTTTAGGAGCATTGAGAGTAAACCAAAACAGAAACATTGAGGGCGCAAAAAGCTAAACCAATGACCCCCAAAGGCACAACAACGCTGTGTAGAGCTGAGCGAAAAAGCTGAATTGGTTCATAATTATCTGGAGCCTCGTTGCCTTCTCAGCTTTAGAGTAACTGCCATTCCAAAACTTTGCAGCTCTGTTAAGGCCGCTGCTTCCGTAGAGCTGAAAAACAAGCCTGTGGTTGTAGTGGATGAACAGCTCCCTGCTGTGACGTGTTCGAGTTTCCTCGAATTAAATGAAGGTTAAAACCTGCTTCAGAAACCATACTTATATCCCCGCTGGAAGGGATGAAACTTCTCCTCGGTCCTTTCCTGCTTTCCCACTGCTTTGCTTTGCTCTTTACTTTTTTCTTGATAAAGACAGTACAGACTTTCTCCTTTTACAAAGCAGCACTGAAGCAGACGGTCCTCACCTTTTTGATCTTCTTGATCTCCGTGTCATCTTCACTGGGAGGCACCTCAGGATTTGACTGGATTTTTTCATTGTCTTTCAGCAGTCCAGAAATCTGAAATCCAACACAAATCAAGGATTGAATACCTCACGCAGTAGGCATCTATAATCCTGCTGTTGAATTTGGAATGTCATAATCTCTCCCTGCACTCACTATTTTTTATCCTGATTGTGAAGTCCTCAAGTGTTTTGCTTGGTTTTTGTTACCGTTCATCAGCAGGTTTCACAGATTTCATATATGAGCAAACGGCACTAGTTGCATCAGAGTGTATTTCCTTTTTTTCAACCCCTTTGAATTTACTCCCATTAGACTGAATAGGAAGAGACGAGGCAAAACACCTTTCAATAAAAGACTGAAATTAAACAAAACAACCCAAAGTCCATTTCTGCTACACGTTTCAGCCACAGAAAGGGGGACATGTTGATTATCATTTTGTTGTGCAGGCGGCTGTTTCGGCTACAATAGAAACTGATTCATGCATATTGAAAACATTCATTCAACTCAAATGGATCCACCCATTAGCACATTAAAGAGAGATGTATTTGATCCATTTTAGACTGAATAATCAGGATACAAAACACACTCTGCAACAGTACCGCCTCGTCTCTAACAAGGACAACCCGGGGAGGCGGGGGATGGGGGGGCTGCAAGCTGCGACACTTGCCGTGAACTTACAGCATTTTGGTTTGGAATCCAGGGCTCGACCTTTGTCCACAGCCGTGCCTGTTTTTTTTTTTTTTATACTCTGTGACTGACTACTTTTGCTTTGATCTGTTCTCTCTCTGTCTCTGTAAAACATACAGTGACACAAAACAAACGCACAAAGGTAGCACTAGCATGAAATTACGAGGCGAGTTACCTCTGATTTTAGCCGCTCTACCTCGATTTCCCCATCCTCTATCTGTTGTCGAAGTTGCTTGGCAACCATTTTCTCCGTCTCCACTATTTGGAGTAGATGGAGATACTTCTGCATGAGGGTCTCATGCTCAGTAGCCAGGTTCCTGTAACTATACAGACACGCACACAGACATTGCAAGGACCTCATTAACGCATGTTTCATGGGCCCGCCATAGATTTACCAAGGCAAAGGCAGTCGGCAGTCGGATCAGCGTGTGTTTGAACCACAGACCTTACGGTCCGCACCGAGCCCTTACGCAACCAGTTCTTCAAATACTTGTTGGGCTTAGCAGACCATGTGTAAAGCCTGCTTCTGCATGAGCAATCATTCTGAGCATTACCCAATTCTACAAAAGGTATTAGATTAATTTGATTAAACATCACAAAATAGAAATAAAAAAATATGGCATACATACATGAGAAACCTCAATAGAGGCAAAGTAATGATATGTAAGTATAGATCTTCATTGGGCTGCTGTGAATAACATGCTTACAGGCCAACTTACTACAGAGAGCGCTGCTGCTGCCCTGAGTGAGAACTGATCAATGTGCACTTCAATAAATCCAATCAATTGATCTTTCGCCTCACAAATTCACACTGCGGACATTTATAGTGATTGTATCGCTTGGCTTTCATGACCCTCCTTTTTCTCTGGATCTTAAAGGGGCATTTTGCTCACACTTCTACAGTGGAGTAAAATGGTGGGAAAGTTAAAGTTGTACATTTGATTTGAGCTGAAGGCAGAAGGTAATGGAGAGGACGTAGCCGATTATAATTTAACTTACGGTTGATCTGTTGTGGTGCTTAGCATCTTTCATCAGATGAATAAGACATTTTAAACTAAAACTAAATGCTTTTTAGCCAAGCTGGCAGCAAGGTTCTAGGAGGGACAATGTCCGACAAAAATCTGACAAATTTTAGAAAAATGACCATGAAATTGTGAAAAAACATTAAAGGGTCCAAAGTGATGTATCGGGATGACTGCTGATCCCATATCTTTTGGGGTCAGGTGTAATTCAGTGTTTTAGCATATTTATATTCAAACCCAAAGCATTGAAGTTAGATGTGCTGCAGCTTAGCAGCCAGTTAGCAAGCTCGCCCACTTATTAACGTTAGCTACAAGAAGGAGAAGTGTGTTCGCAGGTCAAATTTCTCTCCCTTTTGGTTTCTGATGTTTTTTTCCCTCAATCGTGAACACACAATTAATTTACACGGCAGATGTGTATGTTGTGAACAATTTTGTTTTGGTTTGTGGCCTTTGTCAGGGTGTAAGAAGTCAATATTACTCCAATGAGCCCATGAGGTTTACAAAGTCCCACATCACACAGTACAAACACACACACACACACACACAGACAGACGCCTCAACCTTCTCAGCTGACCGTGTGTATGTATAGGTGAGAGGTCGGGGGTGAGAGGTACCTGGCCTGTGTGATTGCGGCCACCCACTCATCAGAGTCCTTGACGTCCTCCGTGCGCAGCTCCAAAGCCTTCTGGTTGTCATGATTGAACGTGACGGTAAAGTAGTACTGGGAATAGACATGATCGAAAGTGTCAAACATTTTCTGAACATTTATGAAGACATTCGATATATATTAAAGGGTTTTAGTGGAAAATTCGCCGGCGAGCCCATCTCAGGGGACACCTTGCATGATTCGTCTTCTTTCGTACACCGACATTGTGTTAAAATTGAAGTTGTATGTCTACGCACACAGGCATGCCCATGTGTGTGAATGAGTGGGAGATCCTGAGGGGAAAGTCTTGAGAGATTCATTATAAAGCCTCTGTGCATTCTGCCCATAACCTGGCAACTCACCTCTGAATTGGTGGATGCCTCTCAACTGACGCCACATCTGGTTTTGCTTTGTCCCGGTGATCTGGACGCATTTTAGTGACACAAACACCTTTCTTTGCTCGTCTGTTTTAATTTCCTTGCCAATTATGCCCAGTGACACTGCAGCCTTAAAGGTTCACAGATTATGGAAAATGCAATTGTTTTCTAATATGTAAAATCCTCATATCAACCAAGTGGTGTTTGTTGTCGTGGAAACACATTGCTTTATGTCACACTAATGCATTGTAAATAGACCCCCACAAATCCAATATATTGGATTTTTTTACCCCTCCCAAATGCCAAGAGCAAATCATTTGTGAAGGGGAGTAATGTTCCATATTTCCTGATGAGCAGCAGAATGGGTCTTTGTCAATAATGTGCTTCCAATCTCTCGCTTCATGTGAGCTGTTAAGTCAAGCCTTTCTTTTTGCCACGTTAAGTCGGGCAATGTCAATCCTTGTTTAAAATCTATGTCAAAAAGGTATTCCAGAAAAGATACGAGCAAAAGTACACTATGGCCTCCGAATCTTTTGATTTACGTAAGTGCTTCTACAAGTAGGCCTGAACAATAAAAGCGGTGTTTAAATGTTTGGTTTGAATGCTTTTTTCTTTTATACGTGTTTAAATGAACACCAACCCTAATGTTCTGTTTGCATTTATAAATAACGTACTTTACAGTTAACTCACTGTTTTTTATTATCATGATACTTAATTAAAGTTGTTTGTAAGAGTGATTCTGAACAAATGACTCGTTTCAGAGTCTGCTACTGACCACTAGCAACACCCGATTTCTCTTCCAGCTGTAAAGCACAATTGATTTGTATTAGATTTATTTTTACGATGATAAGTGCTGACAGTGCTTCTCTCGCAGCACATCCCCTCCCAAGTCTTCTTGGATGTCTGCTGCTGGCGTTTTATTGCAGTGTATCCACAGCGGGTGTAAGTCTGATCAAGCAATGCCTGACTGCATCGCATACTGTACCCTTATTTTCTTTGAATTTTTCGAATTACCCAATTGTTGCTGTAACAACCCCTATTGCAAATGGTTTGAAGAATAGTGAAATATCACTTCATTACCTTTGTACATGTAAAAAAGAGTATTATCGCTAACATTGGGGAAGCAAGGCTCGTACCTAATGGCAATGTTTCTTCCTTGTGTAATTTGAACAAACAACAGTAAATGTACATTCTTTACCATTTAAAGAAATGTGGAAGTATAAATGTGGAAACAGACACATTTGAAAACAATAGGAACTGTATTTGGACTATTTATGTATGGATGCATTCATTTAGTCTGTTCAAGTCACCTTTGTATACAGAAAGTGTTGGGAAATACTAAGATAATTTACCAATGACGGCAGCCATGCTGTTTGTACGTTATGAACATGGTTTACTGTATAACCTAAACTTGACAATGCATTTTATTAATATTTCAAAAGTTCCAAAAAATCCTCATAGAAGTAACTAAAAACAATAGTCAAGTTAAGAAATATATTCTTTGACCAGATCCATTTTTTCAGATTTTTCTTTTGTAAATTTGTTTACACGGAGCAAATTAAAACAGTAAACCCCAGCACTTCCACTTCTCCTCCTTTACCCTTCACCACCTCACATGTCTTATATGCCCACATTTGCTGCACCTGTGAAGGACAATGCTGAGGCATGTTGTTGCACATTTCGTTGGCCCCTTCAAATGCACTTTTTCAGATGCAAATAGGGGTTGCCATAGTAACTGTGGGCTTAAACGTAGCTCGCCTTCTAAATGGGGAATAAGAACATTTAAAAAGTAGAACACTCCGAAGAATACAATGAGCAGAGAGAGACAGACGGAGAGGGAGTCAGAGAAGGATCTTTTGCCTTCTTGAGGAGTGAGGGCTATAAAAAGCGCTGTAGCCCTGCAAGGTGGCAGTTGGCTTGGCATCTATTCGCTGCATTGTCCCCTTCCCTGTCACACACAGATAAGATCCAGCACTCGCCTGGCCATACCTCCTGCAGCTCTGACACGCACACACACACACACACACACACAGTGCGTACAGACACGCAACAGAGACACTCATCAGAAGTGTAATCTGGATCTGATTTATGTCAGAAATCTACATTCGCATTGCCTCAGATAACCTCTGTAGTCTGCTCATTGACTCAAGTGTCGCTCTTTGTTTTTCCAGAGTGGGGAAAGTGAAACGGAAATCTGTATGCCCTCAGACCCCGGCAGCATTGATTACTACTTCGGTTCTCATTTCACCTTTTAGAGATCGACATCGGCGCATGCCAGGAGGTCACAGTGGGGCTAGTACAGACTTCCAGCCACATACAGATGTGGACACAGGCAGATATGAACACTTGCGTGTTTGATTGCGGTACAAAGAGTGCAGTTCTCGCACATAAAAAAAGCATGCATCTGTGCAAATACAGATCCAAATTTTGTGTAAGAGTGCACAAAATTTAACACCCCCACACAAATAACACAAAACTGAGAGAATTTATTCCTGACACATATTATATAAAGGGACACGTGCTGAACAGAAGACTGTGTTATGCTAATTGAAGGCTTTCAAATTCATTTAATTCACTGTTGAAATAAATTCACTGGAGCAGCCTGCGTGAACAGCTGTCATCTTAGATGTCACTCAGTTCGTATTTCATCTCAAGAAGAAAGCTCTGGTCCTGACAGGGTTTAAAGGAAATGTGCTTCACGGTGAGCAAAGTTGAAAAGTTTACGTCTCCGCAAGACTGACCAACAAGTTCACACAACTAAATGAAGTAGGTTGTTCATTAGTGTGTTGCTCATCTGCTACTTTTAGTCCTGGATGATTTTAGGCAACTCGGTAAAAAAAAGAAGAAACAGAGTCTGAATGTCAAAGCTTGTTAGGAGATAACAAACAAGTTATTATATTTTTCCTGAGGACTCTAATTCCAAAAACTAAATTTGAATACATTACAGGAAAAAAATGGCCGCTGTTGAAATGAACATGTATTTATTTGTTGTGAATATTTACAGCGCCCTTTTGGCAACACTGATTCTAATCCTGACAGCTCTGCCAGCAAAGAGCGGAGGGCAAGCGATAGAAGAACATGACGTGACAGCAGAGTTCAGTTGCATGGACAGCGACACAGGTGCAGCTGAGGAAAGAAACTGTATAAAAATGAACCCTGTGTCCATCCATAATATTTGAATTACACAGTAAAATAAAATTGGAAATTAGTCAAAATATTTTGCAACAACAGTACGTGAAAATACCATTGTTGCTGATAGATAGATAATTCAGCTATTCATTTTTATTGATTAATATCGAGGCATAATGAGACAACATATAAGTGGAGTTGATATGAAACTGATTTTGGGCCTATCTGGTATATTAGTTGGTGATTTTTTGTAGCACTTTCAGTACAAAAGTTCTATCTAAAACTTATTTTTCTAATGCATGCTTTTTGACAGCAGGATAATGTGCGCACTCATATTGTTTTTCTTTTCAAATCTATCACCTGAAACACCTTCAAAGGGACAGCCGGGGGATGATGAACCCCTGCAGACGCTTTCAGTCATTTGTTGCATGTAAAGAAAATTAAGGCAAAACACTCCAATGCAACACAAACATGATGTGTGCGAGTTTTCAGCATTAATTATATCACCATAGCACATGCACTACAATAAACAATAAAATAAATCCCAAATTAAACTCATTGGTTGCAAACACAACCATTTATTTCCTTATAAACAAAGATCATGATGGCTGACTTTTGACTTCAATTATTTATTGGCTGTGCTGCAGGGGAAGCAGAGGAGGCTGCAGCTGGCAGAGCTGATTTCAAAAGGTGACTGCAGTCATATAGCTCACAGCTGCTTGACCACTTCTCTGCGTGCTTTTATGCCACAAGATCTATTCCTCCCAAAGCCTTCAAAAAACGGTGTCCATGCTTTCCCTGAGATTATTTCTGACCCTGCCACACTGTGGCATAAAAAACAAAAAGAGTGGGAATGATGTAGCCCTCACGCATGCCAATCCATCGCACTAAATGGCCGAGGAAATTCTAACCAACGGGGGATACACACACAAACAAAAGCCTGGGACAGGCTTTGGGCTTCATTCGTGACTGTCGTTATCAACACTAAATGATAATGAGAGAGCTATCAAATGAACCAAGCCGCTACGAGCCGGGGAGACGCAGTTGCCAAGGTAGGATGCTATTAATATCAAGACAAGGAATTAAATCAATACGTCAAAACGACAGGGAAGGGGCAGCTCTCCTCCGCAAGATGGCAACCTGCGAAGTTTGGATGCTGTTTAACTTTCCTCCCTGGTTATGTGCTGCGATCCCCGCGCTCTTGAGATGTCTAAAAATGCAGCCTCTTATGTAAAAAGAAGGGGAATAAAAGAGACATTGTGCTGCAACACAAATAGTTGTGGTAAGGAGAGAGGGGAAAAGTGGAGGCAGGTGAACCGGTTTGCGTGTTTGCAAAGTTCCTCGGAGAATTGCATCCATCCCGTTAACTTTAAACCTCTGCAGGACGAGGTGCTGTGCAGGATCGAGACAATCAATCAGTTAGAACGACGCCATTGCGTAACGCCTAACGTCGCGTGAACATCGCCGGGACATTGAGTAGGCTATAGATGCTGGGAGATAAAACAAAAACAACAACAACAACTCGGGCAGCCGGCGCGTCTGCTGCGTAACGCAGACGCGCAAACGATGCGCTCGCGCTGTCGAAAGCGAGTTCCTCACAGCAGGAGCCACATCAAGCAGCAATAACGAGAGATCTCACGGGGACGATGCACAAGCCGGACTTTATTATTGTGCGAGGGCGGGTGGGGTGCGGGGGGGGGGATCGCAGTCTCTGACTCCCTCATTTGCTTCTCTATAATTTCTTCGCTGAGAGGGATGGTTTCGGGGACGGCGCCCTGTCGCAAACGCATCCCTCCAACAGGTACAGTCCGGAGGAGCGAGAGCTGGAGTCGTTCTCGAAATAAAACAGCATGTTCTGCAACAAAGCGAACCACTTGGAATGCCATTTTGTGTTGTCCGAGCTTTTCTTACTCAGGCAACCTCGCCTCGTGCCGTCCTTCTTCGCCAAAAGAGCGAGATAGGTGATGTGGCCGTCATTGAGTCGCATCCCTTTCTGCATTTCGCTCCGTGGATCCGAGAGGATCTGCGGAGTCTTACATGTTCTTCTTCTTCTTACTCAGCACTTCCGAAAAAAAACCGGTCAGACTTGGTGGGCAGCAGCCCACTCCCGCGTGCCCATCATCCACAGTTGCCACACTGATGCCTGCAACGGCGAAAGAAATAAAAAGAAGAAGGAGGAAGAGGAGGAGGAGGAGGAGGAGGGGGAGGAGGGAAGGAGGCAAGGAATGCACGCAAAGTTACGCATTCAACTGCAGCGATTCCCCGCTGCGAGCACAGCTGCCACCGACGCCGTCTTAGAAAAGCCTCCGTCCTCCTGAGCCCGGATCGGTCATGATGAGGACCGAGGTGTCCCCGTGCACAGCCTACGCGCGGGCGCGCACCGCGTCCTGCTCTCGCGGAGGGGAGGAGAGCGCAGTCACGTGACGCGTCTCCGGAGCAGCAGGATTTTCAGCACCTCGGACAGAAACTCCGAGGAACAACGCAGAGGAGACAAGAGAGAGAGAGAGAGAGAGGGAGAGAGAGAGAGAGACGCAGCTTCCTCATGCGGAGAATCCCGAAGCAGATAAAAACGGCTCACCGGGAGGCCCTGTAGAGCCACAACACACACGCGCGCGCGCCCACACACACATTTGAGAGCAGCGCCTTCTTTCCCAGAATGTGAACCACATGTGGAAGTCTTATTTTAGGATGTGGGGTCTAGATAAGCTTATGCAATGGTGATGTCACCGGTGCCTATGTTACATATATTCTTTTTTTCTTTTGATTATTATTTCTTTTTCTGGTTGTATTTATATTCCACCCTCAGTTTTTTTTTCAATATCTCATGAATTGTCATTGTTCTTTTGCCTTTATATATTTATAATCTGTATAACCTTTACATCATGCAACATAGATCCCTAATGCCCCCTTTGACTGTTTGCTTGCTTGTCCTGATCTTGAATAAAAATATTTCCCCTTCGTGTAACGAAGCTCAGAATCTCCCAACAGCCGTCAAAAAGTCCCATATCTCTTCTCTCATCCATCACCCGTCAAGTAAAGAGGATGAAAGAGCTCACTTCCTCTGGGCTACACTGAGGCTACACTGAGTTTATCTATCTACAGTGCATCTTCATATTCTTCATTTAAACTCTGCTTCTAGCAGATTTCTGTCTGTTCCTCGCGTCACATTTACTCTATACACAGTAACACTGTTTTGTACAAATTTACTCCTGTAACCCAGTGAGTGTAAACCCTTTTTTTTAATTCAGCATTGATATTATTTGAAAATATTTGCAGCCACTGAACCTTTGTCCTTGTCACTTTCCATCCCGTGCTGCCTCATTTACAGAGCACTGAGTTAACAAAAGCCTCTGAACGCTGTCCACTGCCGGCACATTAACATATCTAAGAGGGCGAGAGAGATACTCATTAGAGTTGGCCCATAATTAATCCTGGATTACCATATTGGGGCGAGGACACACACAATGGTTTATTTCATCACAGGGTGTCTCACAGTGGGATCACAGTGCTTTGTCTGTGTGGGATCATTAAAAGGATCCAGGGAGGTAACACGGCATAATTGAGTGAGATTCGACTGCTCCGTTTTCTGGATTCAGCTCATTGGTGTTTTTAAAGAGGAGAGAGGACTAGCCACCATATAGGTTTTTTAAAAAACGTCCTCCCCTTTTTTTTGGTGTCAGGTGCAGTGAAAATTGCCAGGTAAGTAAAAGTAATGTGATGCAGTGTCGAAAATGAGCCACAATTCAACCCCTTGCAGCCGTTCGCAGACTGAGCCACTGGGACGCCACAGGCTCAGTTCTGCTGGGAGGTTCCTTCCATCCCATAATCAGCTCCTCAGACGGCAGTGGTAATGAGGTGTTGATTCTCCTCTCTGACTATAGTACAGATTATTTTTTATGGCTTCCTTTTACAGACGGTATAAAATGGAACGTGACGCAGAAGGTTGGAGGGACAGAGCGGCGATGACATTTGACAAAGGTCATGAAGGGGTGTCAAACCCGTTCTTTCATGGGTTCGTAGGTTGCTGTGTATCAATAAGCAAGTTATTCATCAAGAAAGCTGTCGAAAGGCGAGTTAATTCAAGCTCACTAGTGCCATCTCGTATATTTATTTAGTTACAATTATGTTATGGCTTGACGTGTTGGAAAAAAACATTCAGCAAACAGAGAAAATTGTTCATTCATTTGGTGTTTTGGCCACTTGACACATATAAGTCTGATATTTACTTTTTAGCTTTGTTTTGACCTCCTCCAACCCCTGAGAAACTATAGACTTTCTCTACCAACTAATATTTGTATTCTTTTGGCTGATTCTGTTTCATAAACCTGTTTCTGTGTATCTTGCATGTGCAAAGTTGATTGTAACATGAAGGTTCACATTTC